AATCAGTTGCATGTATGTACTGTACATAAGTTATATATACAATTGTTGGTATTCTTATGAATATTTAATTAAAAAAATTGTATCTGTATAATAGATATACTCGGGAAAGAAGTGGTTTAATAATGTATATCTATACATCTATATCTGAACGTCAGAGCTGTAGGTACGTAATTTGGGTACATGTTGAATACAGTATTTTATTTTGAAGTTTTGTTTTCTATAATAAATTCTTATTTACAATAATTATTTCTTACAATACATGCCATCATTCTGTAACTTAAAATAAATTAAAAGGACACCAATTTGTATATTTGCCAAAGGTCCCAAAAACATTGCTATGGTTCTGACAACTAAGAATTATGCTGCTGTTATGCTGTGTGAAGTCATCTCCAAGTAGAAATTCTAAAGGTCTGGGATAGACATCAGTTTGAATCATAAAGTGGATGTGGATTCTTGGTACGCTAAAAGAAAGATTACTGAAAGAACTGATGAACTTTCTAGGGAGTGAAGTTGAAGAATAACAATATTTGCACTTGCAGAAACAAGCTTTACTCGAGGGAGAATGGTTGTGACTACACTACTATTTGTGAAAATTGCAACATTATGAAGGAATTATCTGATTAGAATGGAATTTGTACCATATATTACTGAAATGATGATCATAAGTGATTTAAATTTTCAGAACAATAAAATGATTATTATTTGATAAAATTGGTATCTTGCACAGCCTCAGATGCTATATGTTGTGGCAATGAATTGAAAGGCTTTGGATGGTATCCTGAGGAATTGCTTGCCAGGTGGGTTATATGCATGTCTACAGTTCAATGGTACTGACTGACTAAAGGACTTTCATAAATCAGTTGCTGAGTGACCATATCCAAGACATGGTTCAATAGCTGACATAGCTGGTGAATGGACAGGCCAGGAAAGAAGTCGTATCTGCTGTGCCAGGGAAGAAATATCTGCCATGGTCAAGGGAATCCACTGTAAAGAGAAGTATACATCCATTTAAAATAGATGGTGTCAAACTGTGCTGGAAGACTGCCACCCCTGTTGCAGTGAGCCACTGCTTTGCTAACATTTTTGATGATGCAGAATTGTCTATCACTGCCATGTAGAAAAGGTTTGTCATCCTTTGGTGTCATATTTTATTTGGACCACTGCTTAATTTTTGATGTACTGTTCTCTTCAGTAAATTGCCTCCACATGTGCATTGCTGTCATGGTGTTATGCCCTGTACAAGCAGCAATGTTATAGTATGAAAATCTGCCTTTATGCAGGCTAATCATATATCCACATTCAAACTGTCATTTGTTGGCATTGAGCCGTTCGTCACTGATGAGGCGTAGTCAGAGCTGGAAACACTTTTACAGCTTGCTATCTGCAATGCACTACTTGTGTGGCTCCTAAATAGCCCTGTATTTATATTCTAACTTGACATCTAAGAGACCACTCCTGAGCCTAGACATGTACAATCATTCTGCAATTTTGATCATTTGCATTCTGCACCCTGATTTACATATCCTGTAAGTTTCAAACTAATATCATAATTCCATCATGGTATTGCAATTTTCACAAGTAGTAGTGTCTATCTTGAAATGATATACCGTCAGCATCTACGAGTGCTGTTTTGTTTTTATTTTTCAACCTCTGATGGTCCATAAAACAAAGACAAGTGTAAATAACAAAATGAATTTATTACCAAAAATTAGGTACAAACGTGGTTACTTTTTGACATAAATACCTCAATCTTCACGGTGCACAGAAGTCACTCGGGGCTATATGTTGGGTGTTTAAAAAGTTACATTCTGGGTGGAAGTCTTCACATTTTTTAATGTGTGAAGACTTCCACCTCTTTCCTGAACTGAAAATGTGGCTAGGAGGGCAGAGATTTGAGACTAATGACAATTTTCAAAACAACATTAAGGCTCATCATCATAATGGCAACATTCTATGAAGAGGGGATTTCAAAGCTCGTGCACAGATATGACAAATGCCTCAATCTTCACAGTGATTATGACGAAAAGTAATCATGTTTGTACCTAACTTTTGATGATAAATTCATTTTGTTGTTTACACTTGCCTTTGTTTTATGAACCATTGGAGCTTGAAAAAAAAACAGCCTACTTACTTTAATCTCAACATTTTGCATTTCAGTATCTTTTTGTGAATATGTTTATATTACTGAAGAAAGTAGAAATGGTTCTACCAAGAGGAGTAAGGAAGTCCTTGATAATAAAGGCTTTATTTGTATGTTTTAAGTTTGGACATACAGTGGAACCCCGGTTAACGAACGTCCTGGTTAACGACCAAATCAGTTAACGAACTTTTATTTTGCAAAAATTTTGTCTCGGATAACAAACGTAACGGTATTTTGTATCAAATTTTAGTTGGTGTTAGGCATGCGCGAGTTAAGCGTTTCTTTTCCGAGTGTTTGTGCTATACTTCTTTTTTCAGTTTTGTGACTTATATATTTAATCAATATGGCATCAAAGAATGAAAAAAGTCATAGTGGCAATAGAAAGCGACAATGCGCTATCGCATTTGAGAAAAATTTTGATTAAAAGAGTAAGACAATAAACTTTAGATCAATTTCTTGCTCCTTACGGAAAGAGTTTGTTTCTTTGTTAAGTTATGGCAGCGCAACACTTGGGCGATCTGACTACGGGGAATGCCTTCCGGGAGNATTTTTTTTATTAAGTTCATCGTGAGTTCGGGAAGGCCCGCAATGGGGCGGCGGGATGATGAAGGAGGGCTCAATAAATCCGCGATGCATCACTACGAAAAATTTTTGAGTTTTTCGACCCGTTTAGATTCATTTGTAGGTCTCCGGAGAAGTAAGCTGACACAATAATTATCCTTTAGGCTGTCAGTTAAAATTATTAAAAGGACTTCGAGGAGACAGAAAAGATTGGATGAATTATCCATATCATTAGTTTGAAGGAATTTTGTTGAAAAAGAAGGGAATATAGAAAAGAATTTGAAAAATTTTTAACTGTAAAAGCTAGAAAAATTTTGTTTTAATTAAGTTCAGAATTTAAATTTAAATTGGAGACACAATCTGTTGAAAAGGAATCACCATTTATTCGGTCTTAATGTTCTGGAATATAAACTTTTGACGACCGACCTTTCAGTCGGTCTTAGGTCGGCCGAACACTGGGGACTTACAGTAGGTCGGTCGTCCCCAGTGTTCGGCAGAACTCCCAGTGTTGGTCGTTGGCCTTGAACACTGGGAGTTCGGTCGTGGGTTCGCGCATCTCTCGGACGGGCGGCCACGTGGAATTTTCTGGATTTTCTCCACGTCTGTAACGCCTGAATAAGTGCCAGTTTTTCATAAAAGACCTCCCGGGAGGCACTTCCCCCTTGGCAGATCGCCTATGTGTGCCGTTGCCGTAAACGAATAAAACTTCTTTCAACAGACTATGTCTTCAATTTAAATTTAAACTTAATTACCATGGCGATATTCTACAATTGACTTTAGAATAGTGTGGGATATATGTTTTTGTTTTTATTGGAAGTGATTTACTAAGAGTACTTTTTATTTTGTGTTTAGTGTATTATTCAATAACGTTTATTTACGCTTTTATAATCATTACTAGTAATATAAAATGTAAGCATAATAAAAAAAAAACAAAAAGGGAAATGATAATTTACATTGAGTGCCATCAATAAATATTACTGCATATTCTTTATCCATTCCTGAGTGTTTATTTTTTGACTATTTCCATCCTGTGAACATTAAGGAAGTATTATTTAATCTCACCTTTCGTAGGTTCGGCCAGGTCCAAATGAGGAGCCGTTGGTGAGGGACGAGACCCGACATTTCCAAATAAATCAGTAATGTAGTAAAGCTCCTGGGTTGTTCGCCCGGATTCGATTTCGATAGACTGGTGCGTTAACCGCCTCGGCCATCCGACCGTCAAATAAAGATGGCTAGATCTACTACTTCGTTTTCAGTAAAAATACTCTGACATAAGAAACATATATTAAACAAAATACAAACTTACATATATTCTTGATATACAGTTGCATTTGGCGTGATATATGATTCAAATGTGTTTATTTCAAATCAATGTCTAATGATAACCGAGCGGTTTAGGCTTCAACCTACAACTTTGGGATACCCGGGATCGAAACCATACAGATCAAAAAACCCGGAATATGTCAGACCCTGTTCTGCATCACCCGGTTGCCCCATTGAGCTTAGCCGCAGCGTCGTAACTAGTCTTTTATGCGCCCGATGCGAGCTTCTGTAACTACGCCCCAAAACTATACCCAAAACTTGGTTCAGGTCATTTCTGCGCCCCTTGGGGGTCTGCGCCTGTGCCTGGGCACCGCTGGCACCGCCCTAGTTACGGCACTGCTTAGCCGAACCCATTATGGACTTGCTAAATAAAGCCTTCTTAGTTCCAACAAGGCGAGTTAATACTAGTGTTATTCTTGACATATAATTGCTTATAGCACTGTATTATATTGCCGTGTGTTCACTAAAAGATGAGAAACGGTCTTTGCATTTCCTTATATCTAGAGCAAAGTGATTTTTCCAATTAGAAAGTGGTTAAATATCGTACCGACTATACAAGAAACAAAATACAGTATTAAATTTCACGATTAGCTATGTATTAGAAACATAGATATTATGTTTCAAAAATCTTTAAATTGATAGAGGTAATTTTTATAATAACAATTAGCGAATTCAAAACAAATATTTGTCTTCATTCTAAAATTATAAGTAAAGATATATGCCAAGCTTTGGTAAAGAGTATTTCATGTTTAATACGAAAACTAGAGTAATGATTTATCACCACGTAAGATAACTTATAATTATTATCATTATTGCTATACGAATTAAAAATTAATGTAAAAAAATAAATATAGATTTATAGAATAAAATTCTCTTAAAATTTTGACAGAGTACGATAAAAACTTTTAATACAGTTTACGAACGTTAGGTGGCGTGGCATACATGCGTACACCTATATAAACGTTGATGAATCGATTTGATTTCAGTGTAGTCAGCATGTTGCCGTGACGGTGGAAGTATCGTTTTGCCAGTCTTTGAATGTCGGGGAGGAGAAAACGATAATTGCAGTTTCCTATATATTTCTGTTCTGCGTACAATGGAAATAACTAATATTCGCGATTTGAAACCAGGAATGAAGAATTTAAACATCATTTTTATCATCTTAGAAATAGGTAATGATGTGTGTTCTTAACAGTTTTAAGGATTTTCTACTTCACAAAAGACTCGTCCAGAAAATCTTATTTCATCACATAAAGTTATCAAAAGTGGGGGAAAAAAAATATTATAATGTATTTTAAATCCAATATAGTTAATTCCTATTGTGGATTATTAATAACTAAATCAATTTTTATTCAACCGGTTTTGGATTCTTTACAAGTTTAAAAGTTTATATAGATTTTAATTTCCTTGTTGTTGCCCTAAATTTTTGTCATATTTGCAAATTATTTCATCTAATTGAAAAATAATTAAAAATTAACAAAAGTGGTGTATGCAATAGTCAAAAACCATCATTTTTTTTTTTACTTTTGGAAAGAAATATTTTTTTTTTTAAGTTTTTCATTCGTGATTTTGAAAAGTTAAACAAAAACCTGCGTTTGTTGGTATTGAATTAAAGGGTTGTATTAATGGTTAAAGATTTAATATATATAAATGTGCTTAATATATAAAAATCTCTTAAATCTGAATACAAAGTTTCTTTTTAATTAAAGCTTAGCTTGCACTGAAGACGATTCGCTAGCGAAAGTGAAAAACGGAGCAAATTGAGTTATTCGCTCCGTTTTTCGCTTTCGCCGGCAAATTGCGCTCGGCGTAAACTAAGCTTTAGGGTTGCTACTACGAAATGCTCTGCGTGGAATTAAAAAACCAAGCAAAATAGTCTATTTTGTTTTGTAAGCGAGTAAAAACTGTTGACAAAGGTGTAATGCAAGATGCTGAGTTCAAAATGTATTTGTTGTAAGAGAGAATTTTCCATATCTGCTGATTTAACTGTGTAGGCAGGTAAAAATTTTGAGCCGAAAAAGTGAATATTAAGTTAAGACTGACAAAGTAGCAATCTGTTAGTAATACTCTCCTGTAGTTTTTAATCATGCTAGTTTCAGCCAGTGAGCTAATTCGATGGATTAAATCAATAATAGTGTTTTGGTGAGTCTACTCTCGTTATTTGGTAGTTTTGAAACTGACTGTTTTAGTATGCTATCCTTGCAAAAGAAAAATTTTGAAGATTTGAATTTTAGTTGAAATTAAGTAAAGTTGATTGAGAGAAGATAACTTTTACAACAGTATATTCTGCATAGTGTTTTGTTTTTAATTAATCCAGTAACATTGAATATAACACAACAGAATTAAAAATTAGAAAGATATACTAGATAAGTAAATTATTTTTATACCACATTATCAGAATTAGATATTTTTTTTCAAAAAATCTAATCTACATTTTTAAAAAAAATTAGTTGTAATTCAGAAGTTAAACTATTTGTGTGTCTGAACTATTTGAACTCTTCGAAAATATCTTAAGTTAATCTGATGATCTAGCATTCCCTATTGAAACATTTACTGTTGCACAGAGTCATAAATGCACACTGGTGTCATTTTACGAAACAACTAATGATAGTACTGGAGCCACCAAATTATTGCCGTTATCTGAATTTTTCTTGTTTCGTTATTTTTCTTATTGGCTTGACATGAATTTTAGAATTCCTTTAACAACAAAAAAAAATACCATAAGCAATTGTTGCAGATTGCAGTGTACCTCAGTGCAAGAGCATTATTGTGAAACATGATGCAATACAAATTAGGTCTTTTGCAACATGATACTATACAAAAATAGTTATGTAATAGTGAGTTGCATACTTTTAAAACTTTGGAAACACCAAAAATATTCCTGTTTGCTCTTTGCATTTTCAAACAACTGATTACAGAGGTCAACAGTGGTTTTGGTGCCCAGGTATTTTGAGCTGATTTCATATGAATTTGATGTCCTGAATTCAAATATGGCATTAGTTTTTGCCTAGGAGCTCTAATTTTTAAGATATAGCATTTTAGCGAAATATATGTTTCAATATCTTAAGTTAAATCCATGGATCAAGTAAAAAAACTAAACACGGAATTTTTATTATTATATTATGCAAATATTATTCTATACAAAGATAGAGGAAAAAGTCATCAATAAAACTAAACAGTTACACATTGAGGAAGCTTCATTTNCTATTAACTGAGGGCGTTTTCTTTTTGGCAAGATATCCTTGTCCTCTGAGCATTTTTCTGCATTATCTTCAGATCCATTATCCATGCTCTACCTTTTGCAAGAAATGTTATTTTAGATTGCTTGCTTTTAGTTAAAAGATCTTCATAAATTTCCTTATATGGTGCTAAGCACTTATGAAGAATAAAGCAAGTATTGAATAAGGAAAAAATATCTGGCAATATCAAAAGAAGTGTCGAGATCTGGCAACACTGAAACAAGTTTTGAGAAGGACCACGTGTATTGACAGAAGGCAGGAAATGAAAATTTACATACTTAAGTACTAATACTTCACAAAAATTATGCAGGAAAATCTGATAGTACTTATGCGCTCGAATGAAAAATGTCAAATGAGGTATCTTTTGTATTTAAAAGCTTTATCATGTTTCTTGAACTGTTGTACGGGGATTTCCTTAATTTTAAATTAGATAAAGTTCGCTTTTAATAGTTTTTATTACTGTACATTTCATGTTGTACGAGAGTTTTACCCAATTCTCAAACTGTGTTAGAGTAAATCCGTGCTATAAAGGCACCGTGTTATACGGGGATGTTCTCAATTCTTGAACCGTCTTAGAGTAAATCCGTGCTATAGAAGTGCCATGTTATACAGGGGTTACTTGTATTTTTAATGAATATTTGTACATTTTGAATAATAAAAAGTAAACATTTTCCTGTCATACACATTATAATCTTTTGGTTTTGCTACATAGGTATTGGGTGCATGGAAAAGCAATCTTCAAAAGCTGATAGCAATCATTCAGGAAATATTGCATTTTAAATTCGCTCGATGGATCGGAGGACAAAAGGTGATAGTGTCAAGAAAATATGATTGTTTGCCTTAATACGTGCATTTGATGATAATTTGTGATTTAAACAAAATAAAATTAGAATTGTATTAATAAATTTAATTTTCTTTATTTTGATGTTTAACATCACACCTTGTCCTATATGCGAGGTTGTCTTATATGCAAGTAAATATGGTATTTTACATATAACATTTATTCAAAGAAAATTATATAATATATGTTATGATAATTCACGCTCCTTAACAATCTTTTCTTCTAGCATGGAATGAACCAACCTGGAATGCGAATTTGATTTACAGAAAACAAAAAAATTGCTGGTAATAGCATGATGGAGCATGTGCACAATCCAGAACTTTCCCTATTTGTCACTCATTATATGAAAAATCACTCATTAAGTGAGTCATTTTTTAAAAATTTGATTTGCTCATTAAGCAGGGTTCCATTCTATTTTGTTTGTGTGGTGGTGACAGAACATTTTGTTTTTAATACATACTGTATACAGATAAAAATTACTAAAAATAGTGTAAAAGCTAAATCTATATTCTGTATATAGCCGAAGGTTATTCAAAAATCAAACTATTCAACTATTAAAAAATAGTTGTTAAAGAAGCAAACAAATAGCTGTCTCTTCAACTCTAAGTCTGAATCAAAAGTGAAGTCTTTGTCTCCTATCTCTCTTTCTACTTGCATGAATTCATAAAAAGGATTAAGAAGAGTCCACAGAGGAAGTTAACGGGTGACCTTTTGAGTAAGGATTGTAGACCCCACATTCAACCTGGTATAACCTATTTATGTGCTGTATTTTTGTAAATAGTTGGTTTCGGTGAGGACAGATTATTTTGCTTTTAATATATATATAAAGATGGTTTGCTTATCTGCCCAGCTATTAACAATTACAGGGCATTTCTAATAAATCTGGATCATCATATCTAGTGTCCATATCAATGCTATAACACTTGGCTTGTTCTATATAGTTGTTTCTTGTAACATGATTCCATAGTATTCTGTATGTCAATCCTACATAATAAGTTCTCTTTTTCCCTTAGTAAGTTTGATCATATTTTCTCATCTTTTTTGGATATTGTATCAAGTTAAAGTACTATTTTTGTTGTACCAATCTTTATCATTTCAATGTTTAATTTGGTCAGTTTAATGTGTAAACAAACAAAACCATACATTATATCACTTCAGCAAGTAAAATTTAATCGAAGGTCATCCATTACGCTGAGTCAAATGTTATTTGTTCATTAAATTTTACTTCCTGAAGGGTGTGGTTTTGTTTTGTAAGATTTTTCTCATTTCAATTGCTTAAAATTATATATAATAAGTAAATTAAATTTAAATTATATACATAAATTTCTCCAGTTTAGTATTTTTACATATGAAAATCAATAATTGAGAAATTTAAGTGTATGACTGGACAATACTTGTGATGGACAAAAATGTAGTTCATTTAACAATTATTTTCATGTGTCCATCTTTTAAAGTAATTAATGTTTAATATATGTTACAACTTTAGCTGTTTTTTAATTTTTAAATTTACAGATTTTTATTAAATCAAAAGTTAAGTAAAAATATTATCTGCTAGTGTCTGACCGACCTGATTTCAAATTAATGAAAAATGCTAAGTTTTTGTGTGAAAGTATCTTCTGCACTAGCTTTGTATTAAACTGGAAAATTCAAAGATATCTAAACAATTGGCAATGAAAAAATAAATAATATAAGAGAACATTTAAAAAATTAAATACATTAATCTTTGGTAATTTTAGTAACTTCATTGAAATATTAATAACTGCCATTGTATCATTTTGTTGAAAGAATGCTGTTTAGAATTTCCTCATTGACCTGTTTAATAAATTATACAAAATTATCCTTCAAAATATATTCTAGACACACAAAATTAACATATTCATTATATTCATAACCATTCATGAGTTTGTATATTATACACTTATGAATAGAACATTATAAAGTAACTGAACTTTCAAAATGTTGGCTTATATCTGAAGCTTTTGCAATTGCTAAATTTTATTTCAAATATATATCTCCAGTTTGTTTTATTAATTAATAATAAAATATCATTGCTAAAACATGGTGTAATGGTACATGTATAACATTTAAGATTTTAACAGAAAAAAAGATGCATACACCTTTGATTCTGATAGATATTAACTGAATATATTGATTTTATTATAAGAAAATACTAAATTAGAGGTTATGGTATTTATCAGATGTCATGCAGGTGACCAAAAGTTTTTAAATTTCTTTACATAAGTAGTTTAATAAGAGTAATAATTTCTAAACTGGTTTATTTTAATGAAATAAAATAATTTACAGAATGATAGAATGGATTAATCTCGATCTTTAATTACCAGCTAAATTTAGAGCAGAAATGTCTTTGCAGCTTTTAGCTCAACTTGCCTGTAAATCTTAATAAATAATTGTTTAGCAAGTATCTTACTAAATAGAAATGCAAAAAAAAATCTCTGTAATGCTGAAACTCTGCTGATAAATGTTATATAATGATTTGTAGATAAGTAGTTTTAACATGACTTATTTAACAAAATGAACATTAAAATCTAAATGCATGGTTTTGGTGTCTTTATATTATACTTAAATGTTTGCTCCTTGTTTTTGTACTTAAACTGATAATGCTTATTTAATTTAAACTAATGTAAAAATATGAATAAATTATGTAAATCTATAATTTGTAAGCAATAAGACAATTGAAATAAACATTTTTATTTTATAAATTCTCAATAAAGAAATTTCTTTAAATTGGAAGCTACACTGATTGATTGAATGCCTTTAAACTCCAAGGAAAATAGTAGAGAATGTTCTTAACAATACTTAGAGGTCTTTCAAATTACTTCTGCACTGAGAATAGATATATAAAAATTATGGTTGAAGGGGGTTAGTAGAATGATGTAATGATTCTTAAAAATATTCCTATTTGAAATCTTTTTTACCAAAATTATTTTGATCAATGATCATAAGCAAGTTCTTGCTTATTTAAATAGTTGCATTTTAGCAGAAGTATTGCACTAAATACTAAATATATTGTATTGGAAGCATTCTAGTAAAACTTTTAATATGAAAGGATAATGGCAACAATTAAACCTTTTACAGATAAAGATACTGTTAACATAATATACCAGTAAACAGCTTTTATATTATGTACTAAGAAATTTCTAGATTAAAGTTAATGTCATCAGACTCTTCTGTAGTAAATTTGTGAATTTTTTCTATTGCCTGATTTTAAAATTAGTCTCATCTTGGCAGGAAATATAAATTAATATACTGTCTCTGTTTTACAGAAATGCTTCATTTTAATATTGGGAGTGGTAGATCAAGCATATCAGCATGGAGATGTGTAAAAATTGGTGACAAAATGTGATAGGGGGATAGTCAAAAAGGAGTTAAAATTGATGAAGACATATTTGAGTGACTCTTACTAGTAAATTTAGTCCTAAGTTAATGATTTTCTTTAAGGTCTTTCAAAAGTACCAAATGTGTTTTAATTTGGACATTTCTTTCTTGATGTTACTATATAAAGATTGATTCTCTCACTCAGGATTCATGTTGTATATTTTGTTCTTGATTTATATAAATTTAATTTCATTCATCTGAGAATTTATAAAATATATGGGAAGTGAGATTAAATTGTTATATAACACCTTATTGTATTATTTTTTTTTTTCTTGTCAATTATTAAAATTGGCAACTAAACTTAAAACTAAGACAAGAAATTATTCAAGTAGTATTTATAAAAATTATATTATTTATATAAATTTTAATTTAATGTTAAATTATGATACTATAAATTTCTTTTATAGGTAGGCCAAATACAACAAAAGATGGTCATGAAGTGAGAACCTGTAAAATAGCTGATCGTTCAGCTTGTATTAATCTTTCTGTTTGGGACGAACCAGGAAATTACATCCAGTCTGGTGATATTTGCAAATTAACTAAAGGGTAAATAGAAATTTTTAGCTTAGCATATTTCAAATGTTAAAAAAATCCTGAACTTTTCTAATTTAAAAATTTTCATTTTCTACAGATATGTAAAGTCAGAGTTTAATTTATTAATTTTGAAAATTTAATAATATTTAGAAGAATACACAGTAAAATCTACTTATTGTAATCATGGCTATTATAGTATCAATAATTACTTAATGCTATCAGAATTAGCATGTCCCAAAACAACTGAACTATAGCAAATTTTGAATATAAAAGTAAACTTTCACAAGTTTATTTTAACATTGAACTTAATGATAACTATAAGAGACCCTGATTACAATATCTTTATGTAAATAAGCTTTATTGAACTGGTTTTTTTTGTTATTAACCCCTGAATATGGCTGATAATGTGCATTTGTATCACTCTCAACCAGTGCTTTAAACACTGGTCATTATATTGCACCCACTACAGTAATTAAATTGCCAAAATTTCTTGCTTTCAATGATATGCTAACAATTCTAAAAATAATTTCAGAATGTTAACGAGTAATATACACTTTATATCCGACTTTGAGAAATTTATTAGGCAGACAAACAAAGTAACGAATACTAAACCTTTATTTTTTCTCATATACATTTCGCTTTTCTCAAAAAACCTCATCAGTGGATACATTCATTTGCCAACTGTTGTTCCCCTTATACTGTACAATGTTGTCCCAGCATGCATCTACATTCATACCCGTATTTAAATTAATTACTTTTGCATAATTTTTGATACAGAAATATCCAATAATTCTTTTTTAAACAATTTTTAGTTTTATACAATATTTTAACATTATTTCTATCTATTTTGCAATTAAATTAAATCTATTACAATGCTGGTACCATGGGTATTCTTGTCTTTTTAACTGGATTGCAGCTTCGTGTTCCTTTAACTTTTTTTCCAATCTTCTTTCTGTTTCTCCTATGTAACGTTTCAGACTAGTACACGTACATAATAATTTGTAGATGACTCCTGCAGTTTCTAGTTGTTTTCATAATAATGCTTAGATCTTCTTTGTTTATAATATTAATTACATTTGTTAACCTATTTTTTGTTTTGCTACTATACAAATAGAAAATTTATTAAATTCTGGTTTATATTTTTCAAAAAGATGATTTATATATGGAAAATTAATATATAAAGTATCAGTCTTTTGTATCAATATCAGTCGAATTATAATTAATGATTTTGTTTAGTATTACTGTTTTTCGTACTTACAAAAGAAAAATTTTGTTCCTTCTCTTTTAATAGTTGCATCAAGGTAATTCATTTCCTGGTTTATTATTTCTTCACGTGTTAATTTTAAATTTCCATCTAGTTTATTTGCATATTCCTCTTTCTCTGGCTGTGGCTGTTTGCGAATCATATATTATTAAAATATCATTGACATATCTTGCATAATAGTATATAAGTTACCTGTAGAATCAGCAGGAAACCAGAATTTTTTTTTTCTAGTTTGTATCTAAGGTACTGAAATAGTGACTGGTTTGGATTACTGGCTTCAGGTAGTTTTTTAGCAGGTCATATTACAAATTACTGTTTAAGTGTTTTATGTAGAATGTGAGCATGACTTTTCCGGTGAGAGCTGGAACTAGAACTTGAGTTTGGGAGATGTGCTTTGGCATCATTCCATGCTTTCTTGTTGGAAGTAGTGACATTGCTTTTATTTCCAGTCATGGCACATTCCAGGAAAGCATTACCATCAGTCTGGTATCAGAAGTTTCTGGCACCTATCTTTCTACTCAGGCTTTGGTTGCCTGAGAATCATGTTGCCGTGGACTTTGTGGAATTTCAGCTCAACATGAATGAGGTGGGCCGATTATACACTAATATCCAATAGTGGTCATTTCTCTAACTTTCCAATTCTCCCATAGTGTCTTCTCTGTTACTGCTACAATGAATGCCAGATCTAGCCACAAAGAATCTTCCATAGAACAGTGGCCATGTTTGAACCTATAAATCCACTGATACCTGAGACTGATTTAGTTGGTGCAAGCAGTACTGTATGCAGACATTGGATTGTCAGTTTTACACCCTTGGTGTGCTATTCTTTCTTCATTCATTACTGGAGAGTGAAATTTTCTCTGTTCATTGTTTTGTGTTTCTGTGTATCAATAATATATATAATATTTTTGGATATATACATAAATACATAATCATGATCCAACTTTAAGGCAAGTGGTCTTGCCAAACAAGATTGGTTGGTGGTCTAGGTAGTAAAGTTGTGGGTTCAAGTCCCACTCTGTGCTGTGTTTTCTTTTCTTCCAGAAATTTCTAAATTAATTAATTATAATTTTTAGAATAATAAGTGTTTTAACCACCTAATCAAAATTAATATTCAATCAAATCAAAATTAATCTAATCAAATTAGATTAGATTAATTTTNTACGTCCAAAACTTGTCATAGTATGGTTAAATGTTTCATTTGTGAAAGAAGACATTACACTGTCTACTGATGAACCCCAAGAGCCTTTAAAAAAATGAGAAAACAGCCACACTGTTATGCAGTTTTCTTCTACCATAATATACTTAAAGATGATTATCATTTGTTTGAAATATAAGAGAGAATTATATATTATTAAAGCTTTGTTATATCCCATTGCACTGTTTACATGGGCAGAAAGATATATATAGTAAAGAACCATAAACTGCAACAATCGGGACAAGAATATCTCTCATATTGATTGTTGCAGTTTTTAAATATGGCATCTCAGCCATGGAAACTCAATTTGGATGGTGTATTTTAGTGTATAAAAACACAATGGCCATGATTAATATGGTAGGAATCTCAAAATTTTGTAAATGGGGATAAGATTTGGAAACTAGAGATTTAGTGTAGATTATATTGTGTGTTTGTAAGAAATTATTAGAAGAGATATTGATCCACTTTCATGAAACAGTAAAGATAGATCAAGATCATTGATACAAAACCTATCTTGGTTTAGTCATCCATCTCCTGATGATGCAGAGATGTATTGAGTACACTACTTTAAAGGATTGTTTTTAAGTACAGGACTGAGTTTGTCTCAGTAGACTCTTGAATTTTTGATCCAATATTGTTTTGGAGCAATAGGCATTATAACTGATATTGAACAGGTGTTTTCACAAATCCGTGAGAGAAGAGATGATTGATGTATGTAGGTTTCTATGGTGGAAGAATGACAAGAGTTCAAAATTTATTGACATTTGTCCCATTGTCTTTGGTGTAAAATAATCTTTTCTTGATGCTACAATAGTTCCTTGTAATTTTTAAAAATTCAAAAATGAGGAGATGAAGGGCTGATCTGTAAGCTAAAGCTTTTTATAAGGACAATTTGACTGTCAAAAGCAAAGAAAAATTATTGCAGTTAGGAAGCCAAGCTCAAGTGATTTATGAATGTTGGGCTCATAATTGGAAATCAAACAGAAAATCAAATGGTACTTGACTTGGAATGAAATGTGCTGATAACTGTTTAAACTCTAAAGTGATTAATACATTTTTTCTAACAAATTTAAAGTAATATCTTAAGATCATCAACCACAGATGAACAATAATATATAGACTTGCACAGTGTACTACAGGCAATTAACAGTTGTAGGATAACAGACCACATGACACTCATTAGCATACATCATCTCCAACATCTCAAACATGCTGGAAATACAATAGCCTTCTATTGGCTGCCTGAGCCAAGGAAATGAAACAGCTGACAAACTTGCAAAACAGGAACCAAGCAAGAACTTTTAGACCATACTATTAAAAAACTTTATAGCTGTATCAACAAGTACTGTACATACACAACAAATGGCAAGAGGACTGGGACAAACAACTGAACAATAAACTACATACCATAAAACCAGAGTTAATAAAATGGACAACCAGCTAATGGAAAAATTGGAAAGAAGAAATAGTGCTTGTCCGACTGAGAACTGGACATATGAGACTAACCCATAACTTTCTGATAACAAGTGAGTGATATCCAACTAATATGCTCAACTTGCCACAGCCCACTTAACATCCAACATATATTACTAACATGTCCTCAGTACAAAACAGCTGGAGAATGCTACCTTTGACAACAAATATCTTTAGACATCCAAGCTCTATTGAATATACTAGATAAGAACAGACAAATTTGACCTACAATGGCATATCTGAAGGCATACAACAGAACAACTGACATATTAAGATTCAAGAGCCCTCTTGAGTCTTAATATACCCTTGGGAGCATATATCAACATAACTGGCTAGACCTGGCACTTTTCAGCCTACCTAGGCTCTTATTCCACACAATTCCAAATCCAACCAACCTTAAGATGATCAGTTAATTTAACTAATAGTTAAACATCCAGATTAATATGCTTTGTTGTACCCCCAAGATAAGAGAAAAATGCTTAATTCTGGAAACAAAATTAAATTTTTATTTAGTAATGTTTGTTGTTGTTATAAGGACATTAGCTGTAAAAATTAGTAAGTGTATTAGAACAAATGCATTTGACAGTGTGAACATCTGTGGACATTTTCAAATTTTAAAATTACAAGGAAAGTTATAATTATACAAATATTAATAAAGTAAAATTCAAGTGAATATACAGGAAATTATAAACCAAACAAAAACATCTGAGTTGTAAAGAACTTGGACCAAGTAAAATTATGACAATTTTGTTAATAGTCAAGTTTTTTTTTATGGTGAAGATACATTTTGCTTTGCTTTGAAGTGACAAGCTTAAGAAAACAGTATAGCTAAAACTCTTGTACCACTTCAAAAAGCCAAGCTTATTTTTACAAAAGAGTCAAATTTTTTTTCTTAGGAGCTTGTCTTCCAAGCTGTCATTTCTTACTCAGTGATTATTTTTTTTAAATATTTCAAATGTCTTTATTTGGATATCAAGTATTTTTTTTGGTTAATGATTGTTACTGCACCAAAACCTAAGATAATGTCTGTACGTTTCTGTTGGCATTTGACAACACTATAGCTGCCAACAAACACTTTTCAACAAAACAAAGAACTAGTACGAAAAGGGAGGTTAGGTTCCAAAAATTAAAAAACATGCTATTATATTTTCATAATTAAGATAAATATCTTTATTAAAATTTTTTTAAGAAGTGATACATATTAATATAAATTAAACAATGTTTTCTTCATCATCACTAAGCACTATTAACTGAGGGCGTTTTCTTTTTGGCAAGATATCCTTGTCCTCTGAGCATTTTTCTGCATTATCTTCAGATCCATTATCCATGCTCTACCTTTTGCAAGAAATGTTATTTTAGATTGCTTGCTTTTAGTTAAAAGATCTTCATAAATTTCCTTATATGGTGCTAAGCACTTATGAAGAATAAAGCAAGTATTGAATAAGGAAAAAATATCTGGCAATATCAAAAGAAGTGTCGAGATCTGGCAACACTGAAACAAGTTTTGAGAAGGACCACGTGTATTGACAGAAGGCAGGAAATGAAAATTTACATACTTAAGTACTAATACTTCACAAAAATTATGCAGGAAAATCTGATAGTACTTATGCGCTCGAATGAAAAATGTCAAATGAGGTATCTTTTGTATTTAAAAGCTTTATCATGTTTCTTGAACTGTTGTACGGGGATTTCCTTAATTTTAAATTAGATAAAGTTCGCTTTTAATAGTTTTTATTACTGTACATTTCATGTTGTACGAGAGTTTTACCCAATTCTCAAACTGTGTTAGAGTAAATCCGTGCTATAAAGGCACCGTGTTATACGGGGATGTTCTCAATTCTTGAACCGTCTTAGAGTAAATCCGTGCTATAGAAGTGCCATGTTATACAGGGGTTACTTGTATTTTTAATGAATATTTGTACATTTTGAATAATAAAAAGTAAACATTTTCCTGTCATACACATTATAATCTTTTGGTTTTGCTACATAGGTATTGGGTGCATGGAAAAGCAATCTTCAAAAGCTGATAGCAATCATTCAGGAAATATTGCATTTTAAATTCGCTCGATGGATCGGAGGACAAAAGGTGATAGTGTCAAGAAAATATGATTGTTTGCCTTAATACGTGCATTTGATGATAATTTGTGATTTAAACAAAATAAAATTAGAATTGTATTAATAAATTTAATTTTCTTTATTTTGATGTTTAACATCACACCTTGTCCTATATGCGAGGTTGTCTTATATGCAAGTAAATATGGTATTTTACATATAACATTTATTCAAAGAAAATTATATAATATATGTTATGATAATTCACGCTCCTTAACAATCTTTTCTTCTAGCATGGAATGAACCAACCTGGAATGCGAATTTGATTTACAGAAAACAAAAAAATTGCTGGTAATAGCATGATGGAGCATGTGCACAATCCAGAACTTTCCCTATTTGTCACTCATTATATGAAAAATCACTCATTAAGTGAGTCATTTTTTAAAAATTTGATTTGCTCATTAAGCAGGGTTCCATTGTATTTTGTTTGTGTGGTGGTGACAGAACATTTTGTTTTTAATACATACTGTATACAGATAAAAATTACTAAAAATAGTGTAAAAGCTAAATCTATATTCTGTATATAGCCGAAGGTTATTCAAAAATCAAACTATTCAACTATTAAAAAATAGTTGTTAAAGAAGCAAACAAATAGCTGTCTCTTCAACTCTAAGTCTGAATCAAAAGTGAAGTCTTTGTCTCCTATCTCTCTTTCTACTTGCATGAATTCATAAAAAGGATTAAGAAGAGTCCACAGAGGAAGTTAACGGGTGACCTTTTGAGTAAGGATTGTAGACCCCACATTCAACCTGGTATAACCTATTTATGTGCTGTATTTTTGTAAATAGTTGGTTTCGGTGAGGACAGATTATTTTGCTTTTAATATATATATAAAGATGGTTTGCTTATCTGCCCAGCTATTAACAATTACAGGGCATTTCTAATAAATCTGGATCATCATATCTAGTGTCCATATCAATGCTATAACACTTGGCTTGTTCTATATAGTTGTTTCTTGTAACATGATTCCATAGTATTCTGTATGTCAATCCTACATAATAAGTTCTCTTTTTCCCTTAGTAAGTTTGATCATATTTTCTCATCTTTTTTGGATATTGTATCAAGTTAAAGTACTATTTTTGTTGTACCAATCTTTATCATTTCAATGTTTAATTTGGTCAGTTTAATGTGTAAACAAACAAAACCATACATTATATCACTTCAGCAAGTAAAATTTAATCGAAGGTCATCCATTACGCTGAGTCAAATGTTATTTGTTCATTAAATTTTACTTCCTGAAGGGTGTGGTTTTGTTTTGTAAGATTTTTCTCATTTCAATTGCTTAAAATTATATATAATAAGTAAATTAAATTTAAATTATATACATAAATTTCTCCAGTTTAGTATTTTTACATATGAAAATCAATAATTGAGAAATTTAAGTGTATGACTGGACAATACTTGTGATGGACAAAAATGTAGTTCATTTAACAATTATTTTCATGTGTCCATCTTTTAAAGTAATTAATGTTTAATATATGTTACAACTTTAGCTGTTTTTTAATTTTTAAATTTACAGATTTTTATTAAATCAAAAGTTAAGTAAAAATATTATCTGCTAGTGTCTGACCGACCTGATTTCAAATTAATGAAAAATGCTAAGTTTTTGTGTGAAAGTATCTTCTGCACTAGCTTTGTATTAAACTGGAAAATTCAAAGATATCTAAACAATTGGCAATGAAAAAATAAATAATATAAGAGAACATTTAAAAAATTAAATACATTAATCTTTGGTAATTTTAGTAACTTCATTGAAATATTAATAACTGCCATTGTATCATTTTGTTGAAAGAATGCTGTTTAGAATTTCCTCATTGACCTGTTTAATAAATTATACAAAATTATCCTTCAAAATATATTCTAGACACACAAAATTAACATATTCATTATATTCATAACCATTCATGAGTTTGTATATTATACACTTATGAATAGAACATTATAAAGTAACTGAACTTTCAAAATGTTGGCTTATATCTGAAGCTTTTGCAATTGCTAAATTTTATTTCAAATATATATCTCCAGTTTGTTTTATTAATTAATAATAAAATATCATTGCTAAAACATGGTGTAATGGTACATGTATAACATTTAAGATTTTAACAGAAAAAAAGATGCATACACCTTTGATTCTGATAGATATTAACTGAATATATTGATTTTATTATAAGAAAATACTAAATTAGAGGTTATGGTATTTATCAGATGTCATGCAGGTGACCAAAAGTTTTTAAATTTCTTTACATAAGTAGTTTAATAAGAGTAATAATTTCTAAACTGGTTTATTTTAATGAAATAAAATAATTTACAGAATGATAGAATGGATTAATCTCGATCTTTAATTACCAGCTAAATTTAGAGCAGAAATGTCTTTGCAGCTTTTAGCTCAACTTGCCTGTAAATCTTAATAAATAATTGTTTAGCAAGTATCTTACTAAATAGAAATGCAAAAAAAAATCTCTGTAATGCTGAAACTCTGCTGATAAATGTTATATAATGATTTGTAGATAAGTAGTTTTAACATGACTTATTTAACAAAATGAACATTAAAATCTAAATGCATGGTTTTGGTGTCTTTATATTATACTTAAATGTTTGCTCCTTGTTTTTGTACTTAAACTGATAATGCTTATTTAATTTAAACTAATGTAAAAATATGAATAAATTATGTAAATCTATAATTTGTAAGCAATAAGACAATTGAAATAAACATTTTTATTTTATAAATTCTCAATAAAGAAATTTCTTTAAATTGGAAGCTACACTGATTGATTGAATGCCTTTAAACTCCAAGGAAAATAGTAGAGAATGTTCTTAACAATACTTAGAGGTCTTTCAAATTACTTCTGCACTGAGAATAGATATATAAAAATTATGGTTGAAGGGGGTTAGTAGAATGATGTAATGATTCTTAAAAATATTCCTATTTGAAATCTTTTTTACCAAAATTATTTTGATCAATGATCATAAGCAAGTTCTTGCTTATTTAAATAGTTGCATTTTAGCAGAAGTATTGCACTAAATACTAAATATATTGTATTGGAAGCATTCTAGTAAAACTTTTAATATGAAAGGATAATGGCAACAATTAAACCTTTTACAGATAAAGATACTGTTAACATAATATACCAGTAAACAGCTTTTATATTATGTACTAAGAAATTTCTAGATTAAAGTTAATGTCATCAGACTCTTCTGTAGTAAATTTGTGAATTTTTTCTATTGCCTGATTTTAAAATTAGTCTCATCTTGGCAGGAAATATAAATTAATATACTGTCTCTGTTTTACAGAAATGCTTCATTTTAATATTGGGAGTGGTAGATCAAGCATATCAGCATGGAGATGTGTAAAAATTGGTGACAAAATGTGATAGGGGGATAGTCAAAAAGGAGTTAAAATTGATGAAGACATATTTGAGTGACTCTTACTAGTAAATTTAGTCCTAAGTTAATGATTTTCTTTAAGGTCTTTCAAAAGTACCAAATGTGTTTTAATTTGGACATTTCTTTCTTGATGTTACTATATAAAGATTGATTCTCTCACTCAGGATTCATGTTGTATATTTTGTTCTTGATTTATATAAATTTAATTTCATTCATCTGAGAATTTATAAAATATATGGGAAGTGAGATTAAATTGTTATATAACACCTTATTGTATTATTTTTTTTTTTCTTGTCAATTATTAAAATTGGCAACTAAACTTAAAACTAAGACAAGAAATTATTCAAGTAGTATTTATAAAAATTATATTATTTATATAAATTTTAATTTAATGTTAAATTATGATACTATAAATTTCTTTTATAGGTAGGCCAAATACAACAAAAGATGGTCATGAAGTGAGAACCTGTAAAATAGCTGATCGTTCAGCTTGTATTAATCTTTCTGTTTGGGACGAACCAGGAAATTACATCCAGTCTGGTGATATTTGCAAATTAACTAAAGGGTAAATAGAAATTTTTAGCTTAGCATATTTCAAATGTTAAAAAAATCCTGAACTTTTCTAATTTAAAAATTTTCATTTTCTACAGATATGTAAAGTCAGAGTTTAATTTATTAATTTTGAAAATTTAATAATATTTAGAAGAATACACAGTAAAATCTACTTATTGTAATCATGGCTATTATAGTATCAATAATTACTTAATGCTATCAGAATTAGCATGTCCCAAAACAACTGAACTATAGCAAATTTTGAATATAAAAGTAAACTTTCACAAGTTTATTTTAACATTGAACTTAATGATAACTATAAGAGACCCTGATTACAATATCTTTATGTAAATAAGCTTTATTGAACTGGTTTTTTTTGTTATTAACCCCTGAATATGGCTGATAATGTGCATTTGTATCACTCTCAACCAGTGCTTTAAACACTGGTCATTATATTGCACCCACTACAGTAATTAAATTGCCAAAATTTCTTGCTTTCAATGATATGCTAACAATTCTAAAAATAATTTCAGAATGTTAACGAGTAATATACACTTTATATCCGACTTTGAGAAATTTATTAGGCAGACAAACAAAGTAACGAATACTAAACCTTTATTTTTTCTCATATGCATTTCGCTTTTCTCAAAAAACCTCATCAGTGGATACATTCATTTGCCAACTGTTGTTCCCCTTATACTGTACAATGTTGTCCCAGCATGCATCTACATTCATACCCGTATTTAAATTAATTACTTTTGCATAATTTTTGATACAGAAATATCCAATAATTCTTTTTTAAACAATTTTTAGTTTTATACAATATTTTAACATTATTTCTATCTATTTTGCAATTAAATTAAATCTATTACAATGCTGGTACCATGGGTATTCTTGTCTTTTTAACTGGATTGCAGCTTCGTGTTCCTTTAACTTTTTTTCCAATCTTCTTTCTGTTTCTCCTATGTAACGTTTCAGACTAGTACACGTACATAATAATTTGTAGATGACTCCTGCAGTTTCTAGTTGTTTTCATAATAATGCTTAGATCTTCTTTGTTTATAATATTAATTACATTTGTTAACCTATTTTTTGTTTTGCTACTATACAAATAGAAAATTTATTAAATTGTGTTTTATATTTTTCATACAAATGATTTATGTATGGAAACCGGATATATGAATTGTCAACTTTTTCATTTTTAACATTACAGGTAACCCCATATAACACGGCACTTCTATAGCACGGATTCACTCTAACACGGTTCGAAATTGGGAAAATTCCCCGTATAACACGGTGCTTTTATAGCACGGGTTCACTCTAACACGGTTCGAGAATTAGGTAAAACCCTCGTACAACATAAAATGTAATAAAGGGTGCGTTCTTTTATACCTCTGCGTAACTCCACGTGAGCATTCTAATTGTTTTCGTGGCTACTTTGAATGCTCTTTCAACAAATAATCCATTTAATGGTTATATTTTACAATTGGGATCCTTCTTTTGCCTCTAAAAGCTCATTTTAGAATTATAGATTCCTCCATCACGATACTATCGATAGTGCGGGCGCCGCCATCTTTCTTTCACCGTCGTTCCTAAATGCCTACAAACAGCAGCGCACTTCCGTTGCAGAGCGACCGCTATTAACGAACTCACCCAAAAACTGTTACCAGTTGATGATGCTCAAGCTGAGATCATTATATAGGATGAATAATCCTCTGGTAAAATATTTACTTAAATAATAAATAAGTATTTTATCTATGAAAAAAATGAATAATAAATNATGTTGCCGTGGACTTTGTGGAATTTCAGCTCAACATGAATGAGGTGGGCCGATTATACACTAATATCCAATAGTGGTCATTTCTCTAACTTTCCAATTCTCCCATAGTGTCTTCTCTGTTACTGCTACAATGAATGCCAGATCTAGCCACAAAGAATCTTCCATAGAACAGTGGCCATGTTTGAACCTATAAATCCACTGATACCTGAGACTGATTTAGTTGGTGCAAGCAGTACTGTATGCAGACATTGGATTGTCAGTTTTACACCCTTGGTGTGCTATTCTTTCTTCATTCATTACTGGAGAGTGAAATTTTCTCTGTTCATTGTTTTGTGTTTCTGTGTATCAATAATATATATAATATTTTTGGATATATACATAAATACATAATCATGATCCAACTTTAAGGCAAGTGGTCTTGCCAAACAAGATTGGTTGGTGGTCTAGGTAGTAAAGTTGTGGGTTCAAGTCCCACTCTGTGCTGTGTTTTCTTTTCTTCCAGAAATTTCTAAATTAATTAATTATAATTTTTAGAATAATAAGTGTTTTAACCACCTAATCAAAATTAATATTCAATCAAATCAAAATTAATCTAATTAAATTAGATTAGATTAATTTTGGCTTTATAAATTATGGCTTTATAAATCTCCCAGGCCTCCAGGTGAAGGATGTGATCAATACGAAATGCCTGTCTGGTTTTGGTGTTTTGGAAGTCCGCCCAAATTTCAGGGTCGTAACATAGGCCGACAAGGTGGTAGTGTGGCTATTATTTTTAATATCCACTTGATACCATGTAAAGCCAACATTGGGGCACCTGCATCAACTTCAAAGACAGAGAAACGATCGCGCAGGTGTGGAGATACTTATTTGAGGAATTCAAACTGGGACAAGCGGAGGGGTGAAACGCGATACACGCGTTATTTACATCTCAGGCATCATTGTTCCAACAGTCAAGAGGAGACACCGTTTAGTCACCACCTGAAGCAGACCTCAGTGGAGGTCGAAAACATTTGTGTAGATTGTTACTCAATGCAGTGTTAAGATTAGTAGTCGTTTTGATTACTAATCTTAAGTTTTGATAATTTTATCTAATGCTAAATTAAACATACATTTGCTATTAAATAATAATTATTTTTAATATTATAGGTATGCTTCATTATGGAAAGGTTGTTTGACTTTATACACTGGGAAAGGAGGTGATATTCAAAAAATTGGAGAGTGAGTAGTTTATAAAATATCAAAAGTTTAAGCAATTTCAATGTTACTGTAGATCTAATTTGATATTATATTCTTTGTAGCCAGTCAAATTTCTCAGATACTGGTAATTTATTAATAAATCTACCTTTTTCAATCTAATTTTCTCATAGCAATGATGATTTATTTTTTAATAGATTTTGCATGTTGTTTTCTGAAGCTCCTAACATGAGTGATCCAAATCCAGAGTATCTTCAACAAATGCAAGCAAAATTAGTAAGAATATGTTTTTTTCCCCCAGTTTAGTATATATAAGATGTCTTTGGCATATTAGTAACTGTTTTCATATAGTTGTAGATTTTTTGACATTACCTTTATAATATAAAATCAGACAAAATTCAACATATTCCTATTTAATTCTTATGATAACTAAATTATCTAAGATGATAATACAACTACAAAGACAACTATAACACCATATGCACTTTGATTCAATAGTTACTCTCTATCTTCTACAAGGTTCTTAAGAAGTTGCTGATAATTGAAATGTGTTAACATGATTAACACAATTTTACTATTAGTAAGATGGGAATGGAATGATGTAAGATTCTTAAATTGTTTTACCATTATTCAAATTTGGAATGAATTTATCTATAAATTTTTCTGTAATGTCAAATATCACCAAAAGTATAAATGAAATCTGCTTAATATTACCGCGTTTGGACTTTCAGTTATCTATCTTTCCTATACTTATAAAAATAACCTTAAGCAGACTATCTATTCATTCAACAATAATTAATGGAAATTTTGGTTTTATTGATTTAATATCAGATTAAAAGGACACACAACTTGATTTATTGTTTGAATGTTTTTTTAGTTATTGTTATATTGTATAATATAAGTTTTAAACTATAACTCATTTAATGAAATATCAACTTCTTTTATGAAGATTGATTATAATGCTCAGGTCATTTAGTGTTGAAATATTGTTCATAGAATTGTGCAAAATTTTGAGTAGTAAAGATTTATTTATTATTGCTTTCTAATTGAGTTAAGTAATAATTTGAATTTCATATAAATGTGGAAATTATTTTATATTATTTGCTTCATTTTTTTAATGTTATCTTTTAATTCAGATTTCTTTAGCAAAACGGCAGAAATATTCTTGTACACAAGAAAGGGGGTTTGTGAAACATTTCAGTTGAGTTAGGGCTACCATTTTAAATTTATACAATTATTTTAGTCATCAGAATTAATTTTATAGCAATATTAACAAACCATCAAAACAGATACATGTCACTCAAAAAAGTGTTGCCAAATATTTTTTTGAGTCTGAATTGTCAAATGTCATATTCATCTTTTCAATGGAATTTGTAAAATTATTTTCTTTTTTTTTTAGCATGATTATCATGTCTTAACCACTCTGCAGTGATTGACAGATAGACAATCAATAGTGATTGCCCTTGATGGGTATATATCCAGTGATGACATTCGAAATATTTAACAAAGGGTTCGCTAACAGAAAATTTTTCCTTAACAATTTTTTTTTTCGCTCAAATGGTGCATCGGAAGGCTCTAGTTTAGTAGTGTTACAGAGTATAATACGTATATTTTAATATTTTTAAAAGAATCAAACCATTGAGAAATGTTACATGTGTTTAACAAGGTTCGGAAAACTTTGAAAATGTTAACAACGGGTTCGGCCGAACCTGTGCGAACCCGCTGAATATCACCACTGTATATATCCACAAAAAAATTTTGTGGATATTGCCAAAAACTAGCCAAAAATTACCATGGAAAAAAATTCACATAAAAAAAGGAATTATGTGACAATAAAGAGAGATTTTTCTTTACTACACATAACTATTTATAAAAATTTTTTCTGAAATGGAAAAAAACACGTCAGGAAAATTCTTTAAAAAATTTTCCACGTTTATTCTCCACTACATCGTGGTAGCACTATATCTGACTAACCCTCTCTACAAAGGTTAACCATCAGTGAATTTTACTTCATGCAAATAACCTGTGATGGTATACAACTTGTAGGACTTGTTTAATAAATTTAAGTTAAGAATTTTTAGTTAAAAAGTTTTAATTTTAAAAAATTTGACATATCAAAACCATAAATCTGATATTCATACTAATGAATTTGATAAAATAATCATCAATTCAGATATAATTTTGTCTCTAATTACTGAAAGTGCATGATGAATGACTAAATTTGACTGTGACATGATTAAATCATGTAAAAACAATATTGCAGTAGACCAGTGTTTTTCAACCTTTTTGAATACGCGACCCCTTTACAAGTTAAAAAATTTTGGCGACCCCACAGGATCATATTAAAACTATATCAGTGATTTTAAAAACTACGTATTTAATTTTCTTTCTGTTGAGACCTAAATATCGATCGAAAAATCAATTGTACTGTAAAATAAACAGGCCCAACCTTCTCAACGAAATTGTAGGTTTTTTTTATTGTAGTGTAGTACCTACAAACACTTTTTTTTTTACCCGCGACCCCCCGTGTACGGCTTTGCGACCCCTCTGGGGGTCGCGACCCACAGGTTGAAAAACACTGCAGTAGACCATACTATTTTATTCAATCTAAGTAAATTATTGAAAATCTTTTATATTTAATTCTTAATATAAAAGAAAGTATAAGTTGTTGGATTAATGTTTATTCATTATTTTTACAATTTTATCAAACTAGAATGAACTAAGTCTGAAATTACATAGTCAAATCAATCTTGGAGTTAGTTGGATGCCTAGATGGATTGATAAACCAATTGACGATTTTTTAAACCTGTAATTTTTGAGAATTCACATAAAAGTGTATCAATTTTAAAAATAAAAAATCCAATTGGTTCATTTTTTACCACCACATTTGAAAAATCTTCCGGCATGGGTTTTATTAAACATGCACTCATGACATCACCTCCAGAGTAACATCTAAACCTGCACATCTTTTCCCAACATCCATACTACTAGTCAAAGCAATTATGGAAGCATATTTTTGTGATGTTTTTAATAGCTTTTGCTGCTGCAGTTTCGTTTTTCTTTTAGTTCTTGGTCAATGACTAAGAGGGCATTATAATACTAAAACTTGTTGAAAAATTAGTTATAAATTTTTTCAAATTCTTGATTTCATTTCTTTATACAGAAGACACTTTGATGTCTAAAATTTAACACTAATTGAATTTAAGAGAGTATGATTTTAAGGCTTGAGATTTTTTATGTTTGAAATTTGTTTAAATTTAGCAAGGGGAGCAGAGAGGATCACCAACACCTCAGCAACCAATACCTGTAACTACCAATAACCCATCCCACGGATCACTTACGACTTCAGTTGTTTGTCCACGGGGTAAGATCCAATTTTATTGAAATTTGATAATTTTCTATATCAGTTGTATTTAACTTTTTTTTATAGTTAAAATTGTAGTTTGTTAGTTTTCTAGTAATTGTATTTTTCTTGCAACTTTTAAGTTTCAAAATATTTTGAAGTGATAAACAATTGTTACATAGTTCAAGAAAGCAAAGCTTTTTCTTGAAGATGAGTGAAATAACTCAAAAGCATTTTAAAAGCTGTGTAACTTGTTTATATATGCGCCATAAAACATTTTCTCTCACAGTATTTCTTTATTTTAAAACAAGTTTACCAAATTACTGACTTTTTAGTTCCCTTAACTAAACATGCCTTTTTCAATAAATCAAAAATTCTTAATTTATTAACTATTTTTAATAGTAGTTGTGGCAATCAGCAATTTTGAGATTAGAGCTCATTTTCACTCCCTCCCTACTTCTCTTAATGAAAAAAAGTACATAAAATCTAACATTGCAATACATGATAAAATCTGGAATCTTACTCAAATCTTTAAAATCTAAAATATTGATTCGAAGACAAGCCAGAAAAATGCACATGAAAAAAGCCCAAGAAATTTGTGTATTCACAATACTGTGTTTATAAAATAATACAATCTAAATCGTGTACATGTTAAATATGAAGTTCAAGGATGCTATATTCATGACACAAACAAATTTGCTTTTAAGAAAAGTATAATAAATTGAAATCAAATAATGCAATTCATTTGAAAGATCAATGATAATTAGTAATATTACGGTTAGTGATAGATTTAAATCTGCGGTGTATAGAAAAGACTTTTGTCGATAAGTTTTTCCACCTTGACTTTAATAGTTGGTCTTTCCTTTCAGTTTTGTTATAGGAACTGAACCTGCAAGTATCACTTACAAAAAGATTGCCAAAATTATTATTAGTTACTGCTGTATAGCAGTGTTTTTGGTTTTCTCAAATAAGGACAAAGATAATTATTATGCCTTTTTGTCCTTTTTTATCTATTTATAATTTATTTTGTATACTAGTACTTTCTATGTATTAACAGGACTTATTATACTGGGAAATTATGGATGCAGATATTTAGTCTTACAGTTCAAAAATAACGTTCTTTATTTTTGAACTGTATATGTACTAGTATACAAAATAAATTATAAGGACAAAGATAGCTTAGAGAAAGCAGGAATTTAAGATTACATCAATCAATCAAGCAAGTTTAGTCTCGCACTCACTCTCATAAATACACAAAAGCAATATGTTTATGCCAGAAAATTTAAGAATTATAGAATGATGACAATAAATGTTGTTCTAGTTAAATTTACATTATGAAATGTGTTAAATGGGATAAAACAATGTAATTACATCCAATAAGACTATGATGATTAACTACTAAACTAAGAACTATAGTTGAGAAAGAGGAGAAACCATCCTATGTATATACTGTGTGTGTAGAGAATTGATTGAAAATTATGGATGAGGATGATAAACTAGTAAAGGAGTTTAAAAAGTTTGCAAAAAAAGGTGACAATTATTTTACTCACTAAAATAATCATTAAATTATTTTAATTCTTCAAAATTGTTTAAATAATCTTAGTATTCAAAGTACTCAATGAACTAAGGGTTCTTGGAAAGGTGTTTTTGATTATCAAATTTAATATTTAATTAATTATAAATTGTTGTTGTTGTGATTATAATTTTTCGATATTTCTATTAACATGGATATAAAATCATTACAGGTAACGGAGACGGTTCAAATCTATATAGTCAGAGAGGCGTTTCTAGACCAAATTTACCTTCTTCGCCCCGAACAATACATCCCATAGGTAACCATAGTAATGGTATGAATAATAATAAACAGCGTATCAATAGGAGATAAGATACAGTACTTGGACATTTAAATGAAGCATGAAGCTAATATAACTGACTGCAATAACTGATGTGCCAAAGAATTAGATTCTTTGGTAACCAGTTCGGGAGTGTTAGCAGAGAAAGAAAGAAAGAAGTAGAAATAAAGCAAAGGACTAAATATATATTTTTTCAGTGCCTGTTTTTTATTTATAAAATGTTTCTTCACTCATTTAAAAACATCATTTAAAATATCATTTAATAATGTAAAACCAACATTTTTTTAGGAAAATTTGTACCAATTTAAAATGCAAAGAATTTCTGTGATATATATATCTATATATATACATAAATATATACTTTGATAGAGGTCTTTGTTTTATCATTTGTAATTATATGCACATATTGTTAACTGTTTTAAGGCAGAAATATCATGATTTAATTTAAATTTGTCAACAGTAAGAATGTCATGTACATAAATGGAACAGATTATGTACATAAACTTGTTAGTTTGAAATTTTGGATGAGACTTTTTACATCACAAAAATAAATAAATTTCTATAATTGTCTTTGTAACCTCATTTTTTTGTGTTAATTTATTGTTTTTTAATGGAGAAAATAAAATCTGATATTTTTGTAACTTTGCCAGTTTCATAAAAAAATTCATTTATAAAGGATAATTTATTGTTGAAAATAGATTTTCTCATGAAGTTCAAACAATTCATCCGAGACTGCATATCACTCAATAAACAAAACTTACTTTAACACCTTGTAAACGTGCAGCCATCGAAAAGCCTATTTGTTTATGCAAATGTACTGTGTTTGAATTTTAAAAGTTATTTCTTGATAAAGGTAATTTAACATGACCGAAAACGTTAGAAAATTAATAAATTTGGCTGTACATTTACAAGGTGTTAGAGTAAGTTTTGTTTATGAAGTTCAAACAATTTATTTTAAATATGTAAGAATTTATGAAAACTAAACTTTGAGTAATTAAATTTCTTGTAAATATAAAGACTACATTCACCACACCAAAAATATTCACTTAAAAATTAGAATCTGTATCAGGATTAAATGATTACTACTTATCCATTGCAAGCACTTTCAACATTTTGTCATCTTTACATTTAGAGTAAATGTACAGTACATCAGAATAAAATTTAAATAGAAATTTTAACTGTTCAAAAGTGGAATACAAATTTTCAAGTTACATTTAAAATAATACTTAGTGAAAAAATAGTAGTAGGAACAGTAATCAGAGTATATCATCATGGTGACATGTTATCTAAATTTTAGAAGTGATACCTGAATTCTTGGGAGTTTGTGTGGATGTGTTACATGGTGCTAGTTTTTCAATAAATCCTTCCAGATGAAAGTAACTTTTCTGTCCACACACACTGTACAAGAAGAGAAGTCTCGTTCCATATAGGTACACAGTTTCGTTCCACCACACACCTAGAAAGTTCTGTAGTTGAACACCAGAATGATATCCATAACAAGTGCTCCTAGTCTAATTTGTAATTTTCTTTTCATGGTTCCAATATATAGGCTTTGCTCTTCAGTTATTATGGAATCAAATAAACCTCGCTTTTTCTAGCATGGATAATTTATCTCATTGCAGAATATGCATAAGGATACTTGAGGTTTGATCAAAAGATTAAGCTTGCATTTTCTGGCAATGAGATGGGTCCTAGGTATGGAATGGATGGGTTTATAAATGTTAGCTCCTTTTTCTTTGTAATTAACACTGTAGATGGGAAGAGTGACATCTGTGCCACATATGACATATTTAAATTTTGCATCTGTATATTCAGCTTTGCAGGATCTAACTCCTCGTGTATAAAATATTGAGGATGGAAGCAAATAAGTTGTGCAGATAAGTGTAGCAATAGCATTGTTAATGTATCCTGGTGGTTGGAAAGATGTAGCAGGTGTTTTGTAAGGGCATAACTTGACTTGTAGTATATAGCAATGAGTTGTTATATTGGTACTTATGTCTAACATGCTTTTATAAATAGAAAATGAGTATTCAAATCAACATTACATAAAATAACTGGAAAATTAAACTTTGGCAAAAGTGCAATGGACAGAAAATGCAGGGTTGTGTTGGTTCTCCACTGAATAGATTACAGATGTCCTTTTAACTATCTCAAACTCAGGATTTTTTATGAAAATACTAATCAGTTTTTTGTCACCTTTTTTGCTGACTGACGAACTACATTCAAATTGGAAATGAACATCTCTACTGTTTTTGTTGAATTGTGGAGTGTCAATCCAGCTGTTTATAGCTTAATATTGATAACTAGAAATGAGAAATGTACTTTTATATATACCAGTTGGTTGATTGTTTTTGGAACTGCAAGTACAGTACTACTATTGTAGTTGCAATATGCAATAATGTTTTCTCACTCAGTATGTCGGTAAACTGAGTGTTATACAGAACTTGATCATTTGTTCACTTTTTCTTCATTTTAGAAGAATGGCTGACTAAAATCTTGCCTTTTAATTTTACCAGTTATCAGAATAAAATACCACAGTCTCCAGCTATGTGCTCTGCCTTTTACTATATATTTTAGTCCTGCTAAAAGTGGATTGTTCGTATATTCAAAGATTTTCATTGTCTGGGGTCTACGTTTTTGTCTTGTTAATCATCATCCATTTTTGGTTTGGATTTATTTTATGGTACCTATTTTATCTACTTAATATAACACTACATTTTTAGTGAGCTCTCCTTCCAAACTATTCTAAAATTATTTAATAAATTATTATTATTATTAATTTTGATAAGAGATGATGCCTAATGTCTCCCTTTAATATCAAATTACTTAATATCTAATTATTAATAGCAGTAAAGTAGCCCAATTATGGCATGTTTGGTTTATTATTAATACATTGGGTTCTCCTGTGGGCATTAAGAGAGTCCCACTTTAACATAGCCATTGTGGGTCCAGCTGAAACAACAATGGGGTGACTAGATGGTGAGATGGGACTAACAATCTATGAAAAATTCCTGGGTCATCCAAAATGGTAGGCTGATGTTTTCTTAGTATCTTGTTTCTCTCATCCTGCTATTAATATTATTAAAGTATTTTGAATATCTTGATTCTATATTACTTGTTTGAGATATCTATTCTCTATCTTATGATTATTTGCTTGTATCATTTTTCAAGATGATGAACATTCGAGATTATATGCATATATGTTCTTCATCTTAATACTATCAAATTTTATTTAGATTTTTGAGTTTTTACATTAATTTTTCTACATTTAAGTTACTTTTTATGTTGTGATTTTACTTTATGTAATATTAATGCATTGCAAATAGATATTTTAATTCACATGATTATTTTATTGATATTTTTACTTTTTTTTTATTTTGTGTGAAGAATTAATTGTCCCACTTGATATAATGCTTTCTTAGAACTTGCTTTTTGTAAAAGGATGATGTGTTTCTGATCACAAAGCTATTTGTTAGAATTAGATAAAGTCACTACATTATCTGATAGATATAAACATTCTATGTCATTTCCTATGGCTAAAATGAATTGGAAAACTGCTTATCCCTTTGTTCTTTTGATCAATCATTTTTACATTCTTCCTATCTACCAAAAAGTTACTCATGCTTATGAACTTTTTCTTGCTGCTAATACTTTTTTAGCCTACAAACATTATTATTTGAATTCTAATGGTTTTCCCTATTTTCAAAAAAAAATGTCTTATAAATCAATTCAGTGAATTCTGGCAATATTGGAAATCAATGCTATTTGTATTTACACTTTGTACTGCAAAACAAATTTTATTCTGAATGTGAAATTAGCTACAAAAATTATCTTAAAAACCTTTTAATGCAGAATATATAACTTGTCTAAAGTTTTATGAGTGAATTTTTATAAAAGTGCAGTTTAGAAAGATGTAAATATTAGTTGCAAAAATTAATTCTACAACTGGCTGTTTTGCCTTTGACCCAGAAACTTTTTGGGGTTTTCTTCCTAGTATCTCTACTCTATCTCTAAACATAAATCTGTTATTAATAATGATTTTATTTATGATACTTTTAATAAATTGAAGTCTTTGTGTTTTAGTGTTTCTCCTGATGTTGTTGTCATTAAAGATTTCTATAATTGTAATTATTCATTTTCATTTTCTGATGTCCAAAAGCAATTTGAAATTTTCATTTATCCTTAATAGAAAAAAACCAGCAGGAATGAAATAAAGACTATTATTATTATTATTTCACCAGATGAATCTATTATCCTTTTTGTTTTTTTTATCAAAATTATTCAGTTTAATTTTATTCTTGATTATGAATTGTCTTTTCTTATTGTTGTAACAAAGAAATAAACGACAACTTTTGCCCTATTTTCATTTCTCTCGTGATAGTTGTTTGTATAATTATATTATCCCGTTATTGCAAGACTGAAGTCTTTTCAATATTGTGGCATTTGCTTTTGCTCTATTTGAATTTGATTAAAACTCAAGTAGAAATTTAAAATGTTTTGAAAACAAACTTGTATATGTTATTTAGTTGGATACAGAATGTGCATTTGATTTTGTTCTCTTCTAATTATTACCTATCATTAGAAAATATTTTGATATTCATCTAGCAATTGTTTCTTAGTTCAATTAGTTTATGTACCTGCACTTGTAAAATAAAAGTTGGAGATTTTATGCAATTTTTCTTTTATTTGTGGTAAACTGCCAAGTTCTGCTCTCAGCTATTTATTTTTTGTAGCTTGCATTGATAATATAATTCCTGATTTATATTCTATTATTTTAACCTGTGTGGATGACTTGAAATTTCACAATAAATTAGGATCAGTATTAAAATGTGGTTTTTCCAGGTTACGTTGTCTTTTATCTTCATTTCATTTTATTTCATCTGTGCACTTTTCTTTGATTCACAACCTAACTCTTGTATTCCTATTGAATATGTACAGTACATTATTATAATAGTATTATAGCTTTAGAGATACAGGAGATATGTAATTAGTTAATAAGAAGTTAGCAATTTTGGATAATCTGACAAGACTGAAACCAAGCATGACAGATGATCAACTTTTAATTTCATAAAAAAATGAATGAATTATAGAAAAAAATTATTAAAATGAAATTCTATATTGATAATTGTTGATAGATTCCTTCTTACTCTTAAAAGATTTATACTACAAGATGCAAAACAGTAAACAAACACACCTAGAATAACTCTACTTCAACATCTTAATTTTAATTCAACACAAGTGTTTTCAACCCAGTGATAGATCAGTTTCAGATATGAGCAATTAGAGCCATAAAGCTGTAAATTTGGCTTATCCATATACAGTCCATGTATGTGCAGAACAGTAAATACAGATATGCAGCCACCTGTTTTATCCCAAGTCAAAAAATGTTAGAGAACATGGGTAAATGACTCATGAAGAATGAGTGCTCCCACAATTACACAGAAGACAAAAAGGCACACTCCTGGTCTAGGAACCAAAGTGGATGGGCAGTAAATTGTATGGCAGAAGTAAAAAAAATTGAAGAATTTACATCTGCATACACACACTGGATTATGGTTCATTTCTAATTTTAAAAATTATCTTTAGAAGTGTATCTAATCCATTTTATAACAGTTTATAGCTATCGAAAATAATAATTGTTTCTTGAAATATAATTACACTGATACTATCTTAATTGCTAACTCAAGTAAACAAAGATATATCTTTTCACAATTTAAAATTATTAGAGATTACATCAGATTAATGGGGATAAAAAGAAACTTTGTTGTTACAAACTATTGAAATTTGTAGACATATCACAAAGTATAGAAATTAATCAGTTAGCATTCTAACCATAATACATAATACCATTCTATTATAGAATTTTATATATACAACATAATGCCATAATTCCATACAGTAAATTCTATAATCATTCAACTTCTATAAACAAATACATCAGAATGTATTTTAACTACAGGGTGTATCAGAATGACATTTTAAAAATTTGGGGGATTGTAGAGGATGAAATTTTGAACGTTTTGATATAAGGAACCCATAGCCGGAAATGTGATATAAAGTTTCTACAGAGATAGGAAGTACTTGACTGCCTTTCGCTTTGGTAGTTACCCTTCCGTCCATTGACGTCATGTTATTGTTCTTGACTTCTTCCTCTGAGGTTATGTAAAGTCCCTTGTGTACACAACACCTGTTCATGAGCTTACAGAGCACATCTTTACAGCATTTAATACCATCAGAAGGGAGCATGACATCTTACAGAGAGTCGGACAAAACATGGTTCGGTGTTACACATTATGTAACGAAGTTGGTGGTCGTCACATTGAACCTTTACTCTAAAGTAGTGCAGCCACTGATTCTATGTACAGTTTGATTGTACTGTACTGTTTTGTCAATAAAAGTTATCATAAAATACTGTATTCTGCAGTTCCATTCAGCATACTGACTGCAAAGTGCTGTAGAAACTTTTTATCACATTTCAGACTAAGGGTTCCTTATATCAAAATGTTCAAAATTTCATCCTCTACAATCCCCAAATTTTTAAAATGTCATTCTGATACACCCTGTATAGAGTAAAAATATTAATGATTGATTTGTTCATTAACCATTAATATTTCATCATGAAATAATTTTATTTTAGTCAAAACTTTTTATAATGATTATCTTTAGTTATTTAGCCCACATTTGCAGCTTTATTGCAAATCTATTAATAGAAACCAATCTGACAGTAATTATCTGTTCAGCTTTAGCAGCATAAACAGAATTCTACAAGTAAATATTAATTTAAAAGAGTATGCTTTATAACATGGAAAGTCTGAAATTATTGATATTTATTTTTTCTGAAATACAATTTGTATTGCTTTTAGTGACAACAAACTTCACATAGACCAAAACAATAGCTTGTCGCATGAATAATTCATTAGAATAATAAAGAATATTGTGCATTTAGTAAGTCATATAAAATGATCTCCAGTAAAAATATAAGTCATCAGTACAACTACATAGTTTATTTATTACCACATAAAAATATCTTATGCAAAAATATACATCCACAACCCTTATGCAGTTTTCTGCTTTTCACTATACAAAAACATCACTGACATCAAAGAATTATGTAGACATTCTACACAACGCGCACATCAGTTGGAAAGTGGACTATTTTCTATTATTAAAAAAAAATCTTTGAATATTTTATATTCCAGCACTTTAAAAAATTTTCCAAAATATTAAAAAATTTATAGTAACAAATTGCAATAAAATCACAGCATTATAAAAAACATAAGTAGTTTTTTAAGTATATTCTGTTTTCTGTTAAGTACCAGACATTAGAATATTTGTACATTTTTATGGAATGCTTACAACATAATTAAAACGATTTAGCTCCTTATTTCATCATGCCATAAGATTTATCAAAACACAAAAAAAAAAAAAAAAATAACTTGCAATCTGTACAATATGGCACTTCAGTTCGTTTTTGCTGGTAGTCCTAATACTTTGTGGAATAAAAAAAATGGTCCGCTTCATCAACTGTTACAGTGATTGACGATTCCTGTCTGAGTTCATTTTAAAAATGTCTTTAAAACAGGCACTTTGAAGTAAAGATGAACACAAAAATCTACACGTATGAAAAATAAGGCACTTCAGCATGGATATGTACAACAAATGCTGGCAAATTGGTCCTCTCTTCTTTGTTTTCTTTAATACCACACTGATGTCCTTTTGTATAAATAGCAAATTGGCTGCTAAATTATGCTGTAGAGCACTAAGTTATAAAATTTGGCCATCAGAATAAAAATCTGACAGACAGCATTAGAACTGTTCTGTATGTCTTTCGTGCAATAGATTAACATAATTTTTCACACTGTGGTTTCACTTCTACAGTGATTCAGCGGTTGGAGTTCTCGCTTCAGTCTATCATAATCATTATAGTATTCATGCTCATCTATGTCTTCGTCACTACTATTATTTCTTCGTGGTAACGATTGTGTATTAATATAATCATGGTCCCTGTTCATTATATGATATTCCAAATTATCCAGGCCTTGAACAGGAGATTTTACAGGAACAAAGTCAGGCATGTAACAAGAATAATCTTTGGGATGAACGTCATTTGGGTCTGTAAGGAAAAAAGTTATCATAATTGTTTAAAAATATTCATTTCCTCTATTTAACTCCTATGTAAATAAATCATCATCCCAATTCAATAACAATACAGTAGAGTCCCATACAATGCATAAATAAAGCAAGCAAAACCCTCAAATTTTGTCGATCAGAGATATACGTTTTTTTCAACTTATAGGCCAAGGTTTAAACTTTCACAAATCATGTGATAATACAGGTTTCGATAACATGATTTCCTATAATGCATAATGAATCCCCACGTTGTATGTGATTCTACTGTATTTATAACATTGTATACAATAATTATATACATATAACTAAACATTTATATTAAATTTTTGTAAAAATATCAAATAATCAATATGCAATTCAATCATAAAGAAAAATTGGACTGTCATATAATAAATTAAATATTGCAAAATATTTCATTTAAGTTAAATATAAATCATTAAATCAGAAAATTGTTTTTCTGTAGTTTGATCCAGATAATTATTAAATATGATAATGTCTTATGCACTGTACATCAGGAAAAATTAACTAAATGATATTTTTTTCTGTTGTACTGTATATATATTATTAAGACCAACCCTTAATTAAAAATTTCATAATATTCAGTTTATTATTAATTTCTTGGAAAATTAACTGATTCTTAATATAATTAAAACATGCATTTCTTACAAAATAAATTTAATTAAATATCATTTGAATTTGATTTTTGTGGTTGTATAAACAGATGATTTCAGGCATTAATGTCAACAGAAAAGAAATGTTTTAATTCTCAGAACTGTATTTTCTGAAAAAAGGGGTCATAACTTTCTATATAGCCCACCAGTGGCCAAATGGTCTTTGTACCCAGAACACTGGGAGTTTGGTTGTGGGTTCGCGCCTCACTCGGACGGGCTGGTCACGTGGACTTTTCTCCATGTCTGTAACGCCTAAATAGGGGCCACTTTCCCTTAAAAAGACCTTCCGGAAGGCATCCCCTCAGGCAGATCACCAAAGTGTTGTGTTGCCATACCCAAACAAACAAACTTTCTATATTGTAAATTATATTGCAGGGCAGTAAAAAAGATCTAGGAACTGGAATATTTGAAAAATAATAAAGATAAATTTTATATTCTTTTTCTTGGATTTTATTTAAAATATTACTATTTAAAAGAAAGAAATTACACTAAAAACAGTACATATTTTATTAATTTAAAAAAAAAATTAGACAATATTAAAAACAATGTATCAAAGTATTGAAACAATGATTAAGATGTATTGTGGTGATGAAAAGATCTTATAAGAAAAGAATAGTTGTAAGAATCACATAATAGTGGGCTTGTTTTTGTGTAAATATACAACAAAATATTATTGTAAAAATATTAATGAAAAATTTAGTATTCAAACAAGCATGTAATTTTCTAAATACTGAAAGAATTATTGGTTTATTTTTAACCTAAAAAATTACCTTCATTCATACTAATGCTTAAGCAATATATGATTGTGAATAACTGATATTAAATTTGAATCTATTCAACAATTTTAAACATTTTTAAGCACTAATTTTTGTAGTAATACAATATCAGAAGCAAAAAGATTAATTTTTAGTGAAATCTTTCTAGAGATAATAGCAAGGTTGAGGCCAAAGTTTTAAGTGCAAAAACATCTATGTCGGATGTTCAGCGCTGCTTTCCTGTAAGCCTAGAAGTTTGATAATGGTGTTTGGATAGTCAGTGAAAGCATGCTCAACACACCAAACACCATTGTCAAACTTCTAGGCTTACAGGAAAGCAACGCTGAACGTCCGACATACACATTTTCACGTTTAAAACATAAGACTCAACCTCGCTATTAAATTTTATAATTTTATTGGTCTAATAAAAAATATTTTTAAAATATATTTTGCTCATATTTTGTTAATTTTTGTCCTTTAATTAGCAATGCGTTTCAGAGCAAATTCAAGTGTCTTTTCTTTGAGTTCAAATTTGGTAGTAGTGCAGCTCTGCTTTCACATAGGATTTTTCAAGTGTTGGAGAGAGTTTTATCAGCAAATATGACAATAATGATTTATAAAATTCCATTCTGTTAAGTCTTCAAGATAGACGACATTCTGGCTATTCAGAAATCATTGCCAAAGACATCCTGAGATCACCCATCAATTTAAATCCTTGCTGTACAATGTAAGAAATTTTACAAACACAAATGAATAATATAACTGTGGCCATCTTTGGCAAACTGGATAGGTGAAAACTTGGACAAATATTGAGTTTGTAAGAAATAGATTCCTTATGAACTCAATAAAAAGACAAGATTTATTGCTTATCCCTCTGTTCATCACTGCTATCAAGAAACTAAAATGTGCCAGTGTTTCACAATTGTTTTTTGAAACAATTGTGAAACAACTTTATTATTTACTCATAATCAAGGATCAAGAGTTAAGAGTCAAAAGTTAATCAATAAATATTCATATACTAAAAGTAAAGTGAATGTATTTATTGAAAAATTATTATCAATAAATTCTTGTATTTCTATAGGTGATTCTGTAGAAGCAGGGGATAACGGAATGTCCTCTTGAGTAAGATTTGACTGTGATCTCATAATCACAGTCTCTTGTGAATCTTCTAATTTTTCAACTCTTCCAGTCTTCTTCTATTATACCACAAAGTGTATTACATTCGATAAAAACTGAAGAAGACCTTGAAAAATTAGAAGATTGATGCAAAAACTGATGCACGAAATTTTAGCTGTGGTTCTTAGTAAAACAGAGGATGGCTTTTATAAACTTGATACTAAAACAGGTATTTTAAAACAATTGTATGCAAAATCTGAATTCAGTGTTTGCAAAGAGAGATTTTTAACGAAAGAAGATGGATGTCCCTGCTGTAGAAATATCTTTACGTCAAACAGCAATAAAACAATCCCTTGGTACTGGGCAGGGTTTCAGAAAATGTGACTGCAAATCTAAATGTACCACAAATAGGCGTGCTTGTCGCAAAAACCAATTGCTACGTAATTCAAAGTGTCACCAATCTTTAGATTGCACTAATAAGTAAGTACAATTTTATCATATGTTTTGCAAATTCATTTCCCTAATTGTAGTAATATTTTAAACCGTTTGATTTTTGTATTAAAGTTTTTTTAATTGATTGATGATTGATTCAATCAACTAATTTGTTGATTGTATTAACTTGATTCTTTAGATATTGAAAATTAAATAAATAACATTATGTTAATTTAAGCGTACAGAAACGTTGCTGTTGTTCCAGCAAAGATCTTATTTTCACTTTACCAAATGCCTAGTAGGTAATGTGCAGATTACCTAGATAATCTGCACATTACCTAGGTAATTTGAGAAATAGAACAATTTTAGCAACTTTAACGGATCACGATAGTTAATCTGCAGATTAGCTAGGTAATCTGCAGATTAACGACTTTCGAGCTTTAGCGGTAACATATACATAACAGCCGGGAAAGTAAAAGCCAACTGTCTAATAATTAATAAAGATTTTAGATGGTTCTAGTAAATAGGACAAGATTAATAATATACTTTCAATGAGAATTTTTTCTTTAATTGCCAGGGAACATTTAGTTTAATTATGATTGACCAAGATTTCATAGATATTTTGAAAACATTTATATTTGCTATAGTTGAAACCTGGTTAAGTTTTTCTTATAAAAGAAAGTTTTCCATCTTGAACCCAAATTTACCTATCTTTAAACAATTAACAAGGAAATCAGTTTTGGTCCAGACCAACCATCTGGATGTTTAATTTTTGAAATTTCTGGAAGTTAGGTCAACTAGCATTGTTAATTAAATTGGATAACTTTATAGTGGTTGAGCTCAATTTTGATAAAAATTTGTTATCATACTATTTATTCTAGCTCCAATACTAAAACATTAATTCTTGTAAATCCAATGATCTAATACTTAACCAAAGGGAGAAAAATATTTACAATTGATTAAATCTTACAAACTATATATATTAAACTGCCATAGCATCTGTAACACTTAAATAGGGGCCAGTTTCCCTTGAAAGACCTCCTGGAAGGCACCCCCCTAGGCAGATCATCCAAGTGTCGTGTTGTCATAACTTAACAAACAAACTGTCATAGTGATAATGATTATCTGGCAAATTTTACTTTCATTTCATAAAATGGTATGTCAGTAACAGAACTGGTAACATTACATAACAATCAACAAGATGAATTGCAGGTCTTCAATGTTCTAGATAAATTTCGTTTAGATCATTTTCTGACTTCTACGATATTTAATTTTAGCACAGAAAACAAGAGTACGGAAACTACAGAAAACTCAAAACATATGGAATCAGGATATTCTCGAAAAGTGTATTTCATTAGTTACTTCATTAAATAAATCATTGAAGACAAATTTTTCATTAAATGTTCAAGATTTTTACTTGGGAGTTTTTAGAAGTTTTGTTGACTTCAGCAGCCCAGTGTGGAATGTCAAAAAGGAGTCAAGTCCAAATGTTATTTTTGTTTTATAGATATTTAATTTGAGGATGTTTGATTTTGTTTAAGGATAAAAACTGTATCGCCAGTTCTAAATTCCAAAAACTACTTATGTGCATGATTGACACTTGTGAGAATGTCATTGTCAATCTAAAATGGCATTTCCAATTAAGCAATGTCCAAAGGGAATTAAAGAGTAGTCACTTAATTGCATTATCAATTTTTAAACTCAGTAATTTATAAAAAGATTGGACTGAAGTTGTCAGAAACAGATTGATAAAAATTAAAATTAAATGTTAGCATGTATATATGTAAAGGGGGTAGAATGAAATGAGCTAATGTGATGCCAAACTCAGGACATAGAAGACAATGGAGAAACCAGAACAGATGAGATGAAGCTACCAGTAGAAGGTAGAGCAAGGTAATAATTTCAAGCAAGTAAAGTTTAGCAAGTAAATTGATTACATTTTTGGCATTCCTAGTGTGATGGTTAGGCTATTTAGATCCCAAAAAACGTTTTTGTACGAGATTTGATTTTGAGTTATTTTGTTGGTTCTTGTGGAGAATAAAGTTTAAGTTAGAGTAAGTTCCCAATTGTCAGGAAAGTTTTGTAATTATTAATTTTGGATTAATTATAGTTCTGTTTTTTATAACTTATTGGCTTAATGTAAATTATTAACAAACTAACTTAGTCTCATGAACTAGAATTGTATGTATTTGCTTTGGGTCAAATTTTTTTTAAAATTTAATAAATAATTTAATTTTTTTTATAAGTTGTCATTTGCTTTGACAAGTTATCATTTACTAAACAAGTGTGTTTGAATGCAGGCAATGAGGAAAAAGAAATAACAAAATCCAGGCCTAGCAATTGTTTGTACTCATTTTTCATTTATATAATACCATTTATTAGATTTAGATCTGGGAAGATCAAACGGTGCATTACAAGACAAAATTGTTTGATAAACAATAGTTTGATACATACTGTTTGTGATTAAAGAAGGAATCATTCTTTGAGGATATTCCTTAAGAATCAAACCAGAGATTTGTTGAATGAATATTGCAATGCACAACAAGCACAAAGGAATTTTGTTCATTAGTTAACAAATTTAAAACCAAGGTACATATTGTAAACATAATTTCATGAGAAGTTTGATTAAATTTCTTGAGAAAACAGTTTATTGGTCCTCACATGGTTATTTTTTTCTTTTTTTTAAATAACCTTTCTATTAGATATATTTCTCTCTTAGATGACCCAATCTCTCAAGCAGAACTAGAATATGCTGTCAGAAAATTAAACTTCATAAATCACCTGGCTTAGATAATATTAGAAATGAAATGATCAAATACCTTCCTATTGAAATATTAACCAATATTTTAAATATAATTAATTAATTTAAATCTTGTGATAAATTTCTTTTATCTTGAAAACAAATTTGTTTAAAAATGCTATAAAAAAGGAATTAGGTCAATTCCAATAAATTATCATCCAATAGCTTAACTGATACACTAAGAAAATTGTTCTCAACTATATTGGCAAAAATGCCTTCAACTTTGTATAGAAGAGTGTGATATCATTGTTCCTTTTCAAGGAAATTTTGTTAAAAACAGAGGATTTGAATATAACTTGTTTATAATATCACCACTTAATTATTTTTGACTATTTCATGCATTAATAAGATTAAGTATCTTATATGCATTTCCTGTATGGAGAAATCATTGACAGACAAAGTGTAAAAAATATAGCTGTTTTTCTTCAAACAAGCTTTTCATCTAAATTGTTCCATGCCGGGTCCTGAATGTAACTAGGCATATCATTTCTTGTTAAGTTATTAAATATTTGCTTCTGGAAAAAAAATCACTGTAATATCAAATAATGATTGTAGATAACTGACATACAACAAATTTTTATTATTGAGTAACACTGCATCTTTGGAGAAGTGGCCCACCACTATCAAAAAATTATTAAATAATCTTGGATTATTCTTTGCCAGCTGTTTATTTAAATCTTCTTAATGAGAAATCTTTTATCGCAGCCTTTGAACAAAGTTAAAAGATATTTAACATCCTGTAGCCAATATATATTTGCAAAAGGAAGATTACACTTTCAAACTTTAGATAACATCCCTTAAGTCCATCTATTTACCTATTATCTAATGTAAGCTACAAAATTAAGTCATTAATTATTCAGCTTCATTTAAATTTAAACACATAATTATACTAAATGCAAAATGAATTAGTATATCAAATAATGCTGAATGTTCTTTACGTAAAATAATGATAGTGACTATGTTAAACCATTTATTTTTGTATTGTGAACCACTTTCTGAAACGAGATTCTTTATTCTTGAACTTGTTTTCAATTACACTGTTTTACTTGGATTACAGTATCAGTACAACATTTTACAAGCTGTATACTTTTTTTGTTCAAGCATTAAAATGACTGTAATTTTTATTTACCCATTGTAAAAGAAATTTGCTATATCAATTAACAAAGCATTAGTCAGGCTGTGGAATAGTTTTAAATCTTTTCACAGCTTATACATTAGTAAATAATACCAACAAATTTGCTCTTTTAGTATTCTAATTTTATCAAACATTTTGACCTGAAGCAGATCCGATTAGGATCAAAAGCATTTGTCATTGTATATTTTTGAAGGTTCTGTTAGTTGTGGAATAGTTCAAATATCTACTAACTCCAACTCTGATTTTAACAATTTAAAAAGTTCAACTGAATTCTTTCCTATGTATAATCTCATTGCCATATATATATAATTGTAATAAAAAATAATGACAATGAATTTCAAATTATTTAAAAAAAATACAAATAAAATAATTTTCGACAACTCCAAATCTGTCTAAAATACCATAAATCCACAATTCAGACACTATACCCTGTTATTATTGTTATTTATATTTTAAAAATTTATTAGATATTAAAATATTTTAATAAAACTTTTCTTTGAATATTTATGAGCCAATAAACACAATAGATTTTTTCATTGGGATCTATTTAAAATAGAATAATACACATTTTCCATTTTCAGTTTAGTAATATAGCATAATCAATTAATAATTAATGTTATAAGATTAAATTTTTAAATTGATATTTAAAATTTAATTTTTGCTTCCATTTTATAAATTATTCTAGAATCATAGAGAAAAGCTAATAACAGAAAAGTACTAAAATGAAATTATTTTTTAGTTCTAGTTTATGTCATCCAAAATTTTGTTTTGGATGACATAAACTACTGGACAGCTTACAAGTTAAACAACAGATATAAATAATAAAAATTACTGTTATTAGACTAGTTGTAGTTTTTTTTTTTTTATCTATCTAATTTCTTAGTAAGTTTAATCACAACAAATATTTATTTTCATTATTTACTTAACTATGAATATAATACTAATGTATTGTATTTTTTTTTATACTACACTTTAATTGCAAAATATTGCCAATTACTTACCAGTAAATTTTGTATCACCAATGAGATCCATATACCCTGCAGAATGATTGTGCAATTGTGGAGATGGCATCAAATAATCATCTTCATCTACTTGCAATTCCAACTGTCTAGTTTTTGTATCTTTTGGCAATGTAGGACAATTGTATATAGAGAGGCCATTATCACCTTCTGTAAATTCAATAGTTACATTTAAAAAACAGATTATACTTTATATACTTTTGTATTTAATAAGATAGCAAGGTTATATTTAAAAATCTAGATATGTACAGTACCTTTATTCAAAACTTTAAGGGGATCTGAACAATATCTGGAATTAATGCTATTAGTCCAAGGATGTCCAGGAATGTTGTTCATGTTGGTTCCTTCAAGATAGGAATATTTACGATTTGACTGATTATGATGAAGATTGGGGGAATTGTTAAGAGACTCATTTGTTAATTCACCATCAAATCCTCTTTCATCCATAAATTTCTAAAACAAAAATTTATTAATTTGGCACAGTTAATAATTGTAACAATAAAAAATTTATATCTTAAAATTTTAAAGCATATATCTTACAGTGACTGGTGTAGGAGGTTGAGCTGTATCAGTCGTAGATGGTTGTAATTTGGGCTGCAAATATTCTTCAGCATCCATTACAATTTCTGGACCTTCATTTGGCATACTGAGGGTACGAATTAATTCTTTTTCATCTTGTGGAGTGTAACTAGGTAAACGCATGAGTTTATCTCCTGGAATGACCAAGTAACGACCTGGATCACGAGCCATTTTAGCAAATTCATCAGCAAGTTCTTTAAAAGAAGGTCTTGATTCTGCATCTAACATCCAACCTATAAAGAAGTTTAAAGAAAATAACTCATACAGTTATATTATCTGATTTAAGATTATGTTTAGTATTAATAATTATGTTTTAAAAGCTACATAAATTAAAAATTGAGTTGTGCTCAGATAAATTAAATATAAAATAAAATGACAAGCATTCTATTTAAGTAAATATATTTGCTGGCTTTTGAATATAGAAACTATTTTAACAGATAAATTTCAATTTAAAAGTTTTAATAATATATTAATACAGAACACACTGTTGGAAGATGCAGACAATATTTACAATTTCTGCTACAGAAAATTTACATCTGAGCACAGGAACTAGCCAAATATCTTACATACACAGTCAATAATCCATAAGACATGTGAAAATTTTTTACACAGGACATCACATACACGAAACCCAAAAATGACAACACCAAATACCCTACATAATACAGAGCAATCACATGTCTTTCTTCAATCTACAAAATACTCATTTCCTGAAATTGGTTAGTTATACATTGGATACGCAAAACTAGAACAACTTCAAAGAAAAACACAAACAATACTAACAAAACATAACAAACATCACCCTAAGTCATAGTAGAGATGGAGGACAAGACCTCACACATATAGTAAATCTGCACTACAAACAAGTGCAGACACTGAGAGTTTTTCTACAGAAAACAAGAAACATAACAATTATACAAAGCAATAACTCTTACAGACAAAAACAGAACAACACTAAACTTAAGCAACACTGACCTGGATCTAACACAGTATGTCTTAGACTCACCAGTCTGAATCGGAAGGAGCTTCATGGTAAGCATCCTATCAATCTCAGCCAGGATCACTGACTCATGGATGCCTCTTTGGAGAGACAGAAGAGTTTATGATTCCATACAAGACTAGGTCATAAATATAAGAGTTCAGAAGGCACATTTTAAAAGATAACACTTTCACAAAAATATGCATAATGTGACACTTGTAGGAAATGTCACATTAAGCATAAAACCATACAAAACATCACATCTGGCTGCAAGCTTCTAACACAAATTTTATTTGTATCAACATACCCAAACAGCAAATATAATACATCAAAGGCTGAGCAGAAAAACAAACTACTACACATCCATGAATCATATTACAAATATACACCTTGGACAGTCATAAAAAACAACACAAAAAATATATTATGACCATACCATAATCAAATAAAACAATCCATTATAATAGACTAGACATCTTTCATTGACAAAAAAAAAAAAAAAAAAACAAAATCACATACATCATAGACAGAGTTGTACCAAACACTGCAACAGACAAAATATATACACTAAAAAAAATTAGGAAATACTCAGAATTTGCCCTGTGGAGAATGGATGAGGTACATATTGGGCCAGTAATCCTTGCACAGGCATCATACCACAAAAGTTCCAAAATATTAGGGCTTCACAATAACAAATATATTACTCTACTTAAGGCTACCATACTAAACACATATCTTATAGCCAGGAAATTCTTAAACACAGATACATAAACAAAACACTTGTTTTCTGTAGTAATGCCTTGACTCACACTAGGATCTAGTATATATGCCATATGGGATACATTCCAACAATAATAATAATAGTAATAAAATTAAAATTAAAGTCATTTTAATGAATGTTTATAAATATAATAATAAGGATGTTATTAACATCTAAATGTTTAAAAACTTACATTTGATCATAATCATATAAACATCAATAGTACAAATAGGTGGCTGTGGTAAGCGTTCTCCCTTTTCTAAAAGATCAGGAACTTCACGTGCTGAAATATTTTCATATGGTCGACCTCCATAGGTAAGCAATTCCCAAACAGTCACACCTAAGAACAATTTATTTAAAATTAATATATTTTCAAAATAAAATTTTTAAATTTAATAAAAAACTAAATAAAACATACCAAAAGCCCAAACATCACTTTTGTGTGTGAATATACGATGTTGAATACATTCTAATGCCAACCACTTTATGGGCATCTTTAAAAATATTAATTCAATTAAGATGAAACGTTTTATAAGTATTAAAACAATTTATAATTAAAATATTTTTTACCTTCCCACCAGCTGCTTTATATTCATCTTCATTAATGTCTAATAACTTAGCTAAACCAAAATCAGTTATTTTAACACATCCAGGTGTTTGCACTGAAATTAATATGAATTATTTTTATTTCTGAATAACAAAAATTGTAATTTATGATGAACTATAGTTTAAATTGTATTGTTTGAAATTAGATTATATATCACTTACACAAGACATTCCTCAATGCAAGATCTCGATGAACCATTCGCCTCTCTTCCAGGTAAGCCATTCCCTAAAACAAGTAATATTTTTTAAAATGTGTGAAAAATTTAAATATTGTTTAAACACACAGTAGCAACCAACTTACTCTTGCTATTTGAGCACACCAGTTTAACAATGGTTTTGAACCAGTTTTATCCTTATTGTTACGTACATAATCAAGAAGACAACCAAGAGGCATTAATTGTGTTACCAACATTAATTGTGATGCCATGCAAACAGCTAATAATTTAAGCAAGTTCGGATGATCGACACTAGCCATTATATAAGCCTCCTGAAAACATGACATATCATTAATATATTATATAAAAATTAAAAAATATTTCATTTTTAGACAAATAAATTACCTCTAAAAATTCTTTATTAGTATTAGGGCAAGTTCCTTCTCGTAAAACTTTAATAGCTACTGGTATTTTGACATTTTCACCTTCAGGAACCCAAACCCCCTATTGAAATTTTAAAATTATTTTAAATTTAATGCAAATTTTTTTTTTAATTTTAAAATTGGACTCAATTTTTTGTTTACTTACTTTATGAACAGTACCAAATGCTCCATATCCTAAAATTCCTCCTTTTCTTAATTCAGCTTCTTTCACAATCCTTAATTTTGCCAAATTTGGTTTAATGTTGGATGGTTTCAATGGTTCATTATCTTCAAAGCCAGTCATTCTCTGAGATATTTAAATTAATAACTTTCAACTTTTATATTAACAGCAACATGTTAAATACTTAATAAGTAATGATATAAATATTGAAATTACCATTGTCATTTTCATTGTATTTTCTTTGGTTTTTGCTCTTTGCAACCACTGGTAACTGAAAAATGCTAAGAATCCACCAAAAAGTAATAAGCATCCTACAACACCTCCCAAAATAGCGGGAATGTGGTTTTCATCCCTAAATATATTTAAATATTTTTCAATGTAGTGTTAAGAAAATACTTTAATAAATATCTAAATATACATTTTAATGAAACATACATTCCATGTACTGCAAAATATGAAGGATCAACATCAGTACAATACGGATCTTCAGTATTCTCATCAAATTTCTTATATGGCTTATCAGATGGACAGGATGCAGTACAATTAAACTGAAATTTAGAAATTAAAATTTGAAGATTCTAAAAACAGATATAAAATATAATTATAAATTTGGAATCTCTAATCTTGAAATCATTACAACTATAAATTTTTGAATGATTTTCACTTAAAATCAAATAAAACTACAATTCTTATATATTTTTAAAAACATTTCTTAAAAGTCATAATAAATAAGCTTTTGTTCCTTTCTTGTTGGGATATCAACTATATTCCAATTAAAAAATTCTTGGGAATTCTGTAATCCTGCATCTGCAGGTGTATAGGAATGCTACTGATAATTCAATGATCTGTAGTTTTGGATCGTTGAATTGCTGGTAGCATTCCTATACACCTGCAGATGCAGGATTATGGAAGTCTCAGGAATTTTCTAATTAAGCTTTTTGTTATTTATCTATGATTTGTATAAATTTTCTATATCAGTGCAAGTCTATGAATCATGAACTATAGTCTCCAGAAAGTTTTCAGTTCAGGAAAGAAAATGCAATATTAAATAATGCAATTCAAAGAACATATAATTTTGATAATTATGTCATACTGCTGTAGTATATATGCACTTAAATACCAACACTAGAAATGGACAGTAGTTAACTACTAGTTACAATTACTATCCCAACTTAGTAATTAAACTACTAGTTAACTACATGTTTAGTTTCAACTACTCTTAACTATTCTGTAATTTTTGTTTTTATTCATTATAATGTTGTTTTGGAGTAATCTATTGTCTTAGTGTATTAAGGCAAAAAATGTGTCTCATTTTCAATATATGCTTCTAATCTGTATTATCAATTAATTAGTAATAATAACTATGAACCTTGCTGGCTTTACTATTATAATTACAGATTTTTTCAATTTTTATTTAATTAACAACTAAATGGGAACCAGTTTTCCATAAAAATCCTCTTGTGAGACAATCTCTCTTGGCAGATTATCGAAGTGCTGCATTGCATTAAGTCATAAATCCAATACATTTCTAGTTTGACTGTATTACACAAATACTGGTAGTAAAAAATAACTTCTAAAATACAAAACTATCTTTGAATTTGCACATTTCACTGCAATACATGCAGTGGAGCATGTTTTCCTTGGACAAATTTTAATACTTAGCAAATGCATAATATCAAATGAAAAATTTGCAAAACTTGTATTCTGAGACATCAATTAAAAAAGATATGAAGGTGTTGAATTTATTACTTAACACTATCCTTTAACACTTTAATTAAACGATGAAATGAAAACAGAATTGTTATTTTAATCCAGTCGAATGTTTAGTTTTTCTATTTCTGAGTAGTTTAAATATAGTTAACTAATAATTTCAATTACTGTTATAAAAACAAATTACATAGGTAACTTGTAGTTAAATTATATTGCTTTTTATACTAGTTAACTACTTTTACATAATTAATGATACAGTATGTACAGTATAGTTAGTAGATACAGAGTACTGATAAAGTACAAAATACAATAATACAGTAAATATAGCAAAAAGTATGGTATCAGTCTATGGCAAACTGAGGAAAATATTCCCAGCCCATCACATCAATTAGTTTGAAAAGTATTGTTGTATATGATACTATTCTAAAAGTTTTATTAATTAATTATTATTTAATAATATAAATTATGTTATATTTAGTGTTTGTCTATATTTTAGTTTAAAATATTTATATTATTATTCTCACCATTGAAAGATTTTGTCCAATATATATGCGATAATTTCTGCATGCTATACATTCTACTGTAGTAGGCCCATAACAGCCTCTACATTCTTCTGCACATTTTACACATTGATGATTTGCTTCATCTGCAAAATGATCTCTTGGACATCTATCTTCACATTGTTCTCCTGCACTGTAGTGCAAACAGTCACACATAGAAACATGAATGCCATAAGATGTGCAATTTTTGCATCGTTGATGACATTTTCGACAAATCTAAATAATATAATAATTTTATAAATATACTTTCATTCAAGCTGATATGAATTAAGTTTTTACCAAAATTAAATTTACCGATTTTCCAGTTAGAGATTTCAATGGGCCCTCTTCCTGAGGACCAATGTAATCAGGATAATAACCATCAGGACAAGGTTCATCAGCTTTAAGGCATTGTTCCTAATGTAAAAAACTTAAAATGTTATTTTAGAATTATTGAAATTATTAAATCTGCTTATGTATTTCAATTCTACTGAATATTTGTTTGTAATGAACTAAGAGTAAACCTTATGAAGCCAGTAGTAGTTTTTAGATTTTAAAGTTAACTAAAACTAAAACAAATTGCAGTAATTATGAATTACTGCAATTTGAATTGCAGTAAATTATTCAAATTCATATTTGCAAGCTTTTTAAGATGGAAATGATTATATTACAATCAAAAAATATTTTTTAAAAACAAAATTTTTATTTATCTGAATCAAACTCTCTATTAATATAGNTATATATTAATTTCATTCAATACAACCGTATCCACTATATTCTTTTTAAAAATTATTTCTGAGAATCAAATTTTCATCTTTATATTGCCTCATCATTTCTATGCATTTGTAGCTAGAACTATTTTAAGATGATCAATACAAAATCTTCCTCACTTATTTCTAGCCGTTTCGTACTCGTGTATAAACAGCTAGAAATAAGTGAGGAAGGTTTTGTATTATTGATCACCTCATCATTTGTTTATATTAATATTCTATACATTTTTTTAAACATCATTATTCAAATTGATAAATTATACTTATTAATACAGGAGACAAAAATGAAATTTATTTTAAAATTCTTAAAAGATACTCACAACAACATTAGGATCAAATGCACTAACAATAGCTTTTTCACAAGAGATGCATCCTTGTCCTCCAATTGTATTATCTGGACCAGTACATCTGTTTAAATATTTTAATTTATATCAATTACAAATGAATTTACTGTATATTATTAAAATAATATAATAAAAATTAAATTTTACCCTCCAATGCAATTCTTATGACAGGGCAGGCATTCACCATTATCATTATACTTTGTTTCAGGACATTCAGCATAACAATATGGTCCATCTCTGACATGACGACACTGACTACAATTTCCAGGACCCTAAAATAAATATTTAATTTTGAAGAAATTAGAATTGAAAAACTCATTATAATATGAACTAAACTGAAATGAATTTGTTTATCAAGAATATCAATTTTACTATTAATTAATTCTCACTAATTTGTATTATAATCACAATTAATTAATATGATAGAAGGCTTTTCTTTTGAATTTTTTTAGACTTGAAAAATTATTTTAAAATTATTATTATTATTCAATAATTTTTTATTTCAAAATAAATTATAAAAAAATTACAATTTCATATTTAGCTAAATCTGAATATTAATACAGATTTAATAATTAAACAATGATGAGGTTCAGGTTATCCACAAAGACTGTGACATTGCTTATTTCTAATACAAAATTGATTTTTAATTACTTCATAATCAGTTTAAAAGAAATTTGATTGTTTTATAAACTGAAATTTATTTAATTTATATTAAACTGCTGGATTGTATTATATTACTAAAACATATTACTATAGTACAGAGTGTAAATACTGACTCACTTCATATTTACATTTATTATACAAAATTCAAGGCTGTCAAATATGATTAAAGTTCTTATCATCTTTTGAAATTGTTTACTAGAATGATTTCAAAATACTTTTGATTTTGTACAGCTATTGAAATTTGAAAGTTTGAATTTATCTTTAAAAAGATTAAATTTTTATCTAAAATTCATTTAGAAAAAAATAAAATGAAACTACAAAATTGTTTCAAATTACTTATCATATATACTACAATTTCTGCTACAGAAAATTTACATCTGAGCACAGGAACTAGCCAAATATCTTACATACACAGTCAATAATCCATAAGACATGTGAAAATTTTTTACACAGGACATCACATACACGAAACCCAAAAATGACAACACCAAATACCCTACATAATACAGAGCAATCACATGTCTTTCTTCAATCTACAAAATACTCATTTCCTGAAATTGGTTAGTTATACATTGGATACGCAAAACTAGAACAACTTCAAAGAAAAACACAAACAATACTAACAAAACATAACAAACATCACCCTAAGTCATAGTAGAGATGGAGGACAAGACCTCACACATATAGTAAATCTGCACTACAAACAAGTGCAGACACTGAGAGTTTTTCTACAGAAAACAAGAAACATAACAATTATACAAAGCAATAACTCTTACAGACAAAAACAGAACAACACTAAACTTAAGCAACACTGACCTGGATCTAACACAGTATGTCTTAGACTCACCAGTCTGAATCGGAAGGAGCTTCATGGTAAGCATCCTATCAATCTCAGCCAGGATCACTGACTCATGGATGCCTCTTTGGAGAGACAGAAGAGTTTATGATTCCATACAAGACTAGGTCATAAATATAAGAGTTCAGAAGGCACATTTTAAAAGATAACACTTTCACAAAAATATGCATAATGTGACACTTGTAGGAAATGTCACATTAAGCATAAAACCATACAAAACATCACATCTGGCTGCAAGCTTCTAACACAAATTTTATTTGTATCAACATACCCAAACAGCAAATATAATACATCAAAGGCTGAGCAGAAAAACAAACTACTACACATCCATGAATCATATTACAAATATACACCTTGGACAGTCATAAAAAACAACACAAAAAATATATTATGACCATACCATAATCAAATAAAACAATCCATTATAATAGACTAGACATCTTTCATTGACAAAAAAAAAAAAAAAAAAACAAAATCACATACATCATAGACAGAGTTGTACCAAACACTGCAACAGACAAAATATATACACTAAAAAAAATTAGGAAATACTCAGAATTTGCCCTGTGGAGAATGGATGAGGTACATATTGGGCCAGTAATCCTTGCACAGGCATCATACCACAAAAGTTCCAAAATATTAGGGCTTCACAATAACAAATATATTACTCTACTTAAGGCTACCATACTAAACACATATCTTATAGCCAGGAAATTCTTAAACACAGATACATAAACAAAACACTTGTTTTCTGTAGTAATGCCTTGACTCACACTAGGATCTAGTATATATGCCATATGGGATACATTCCAACAATAATAATAATAGTAATAAAATTAAAATTAAAGTCATTTTAATGAATGTTTATAAATATAATAATAAGGATGTTATTAACATCTAAATGTTTAAAAACTTACATTTGATCATAATCATATAAACATCAATAGTACAAATAGGTGGCTGTGGTAAGCGTTCTCCCTTTTCTAAAAGATCAGGAACTTCACGTGCTGAAATATTTTCATATGGTCGACCTCCATAGGTAAGCAATTCCCAAACAGTCACACCTAAGAACAATTTATTTAAAATTAATATATTTTCAAAATAAAATTTTTAAATTTAATAAAAAACTAAATAAAACATACCAAAAGCCCAAACATCACTTTTGTGTGTGAATATACGATGTTGAATACATTCTAATGCCAACCACTTTATGGGCATCTTTAAAAATATTAATTCAATTAAGATGAAACGTTTTATAAGTATTAAAACAATTTATAATTAAAATATTTTTTACCTTCCCACCAGCTGCTTTATATTCATCTTCATTAATGTCTAATAACTTAGCTAAACCAAAATCAGTTATTTTAACACATCCAGGTGTTTGCACTGAAATTAATATGAATTATTTTTATTTCTGAATAACAAAAATTGTAATTTATGATGAACTATAGTTTAAATTGTATTGTTTGAAATTAGATTATATATCACTTACACAAGACATTCCTCAATGCAAGATCTCGATGAACCATTCGCCTCTCTTCCAGGTAAGCCATTCCCTAAAACAAGTAATATTTTTTAAAATGTGTGAAAAATTTAAATATTGTTTAAACACACAGTAGCAACCAACTTACTCTTGCTATTTGAGCACACCAGTTTAACAATGGTTTTGAACCAGTTTTATCCTTATTGTTACGTACATAATCAAGAAGACAACCAAGAGGCATTAATTGTGTTACCAACATTAATTGTGATGCCATGCAAACAGCTAATAATTTAAGCAAGTTCGGATGATCGACACTAGCCATTATATAAGCCTCCTGAAAACATGACATATCATTAATATATTATATAAAAATTAAAAAATATTTCATTTTTAGACAAATAAATTACCTCTAAAAATTCTTTATTAGTATTAGGGCAAGTTCCTTCTCGTAAAACTTTAATAGCTACTGGTATTTTGACATTTTCACCTTCAGGAACCCAAACCCCCTATTGAAATTTTAAAATTATTTTAAATTTAATGCAAATTTTTTTTTTAATTTTAAAATTGGACTCAATTTTTTGTTTACTTACTTTATGAACAGTACCAAATGCTCCATATCCTAAAATTCCTCCTTTTCTTAATTCAGCTTCTTTCACAATCCTTAATTTTGCCAAATTTGGTTTAATGTTGGATGGTTTCAATGGTTCATTATCTTCAAAGCCAGTCATTCTCTGAGATATTTAAATTAATAACTTTCAACTTTTATATTAACAGCAACATGTTAAATACTTAATAAGTAATGATATAAATATTGAAATTACCATTGTCATTTTCATTGTATTTTCTTTGGTTTTTGCTCTTTGCAACCACTGGTAACTGAAAAATGCTAAGAATCCACCAAAAAGTAATAAGCATCCTACAACACCTCCCAAAATAGCGGGAATGTGGTTTTCATCCCTAAATATATTTAAATATTTTTCAATGTAGTGTTAAGAAAATACTTTAATAAATATCTAAATATACATTTTAATGAAACATACATTCCATGTACTGCAAAATATGAAGGATCAACATCAGTACAATACGGATCTTCAGTATTCTCATCAAATTTCTTATATGGCTTATCAGATGGACAGGATGCAGTACAATTAAACTGAAATTTAGAAATTAAAATTTGAAGATTCTAAAAACAGATATAAAATATAATTATAAATTTGGAATCTCTAATCTTGAAATCATTACAACTATAAATTTTTGAATGATTTTCACTTAAAATCAAATAAAACTACAATTCTTATATATTTTTAAAAACATTTCTTAAAAGTCATAATAAATAAGCTTTTGTTCCTTTCTTGTTGGGATATCAACTATATTCCAATTAAAAAATTCTTGGGAATTCTGTAATCCTGCATCTGCAGGTGTATAGGAATGCTACTGATAATTCAATGATCTGTAGTTTTGGATCGTTGAATTGCTGGTAGCATTCCTATACACCTGCAGATGCAGGATTATGGAAGTCTCAGGAATTTTCTAATTAAGCTTTTTGTTATTTATCTATGATTTGTATAAATTTTCTATATCAGTGCAAGTCTATGAATCATGAACTATAGTCTCCAGAAAGTTTTCAGTTCAGGAAAGAAAATGCAATATTAAATAATGCAATTCAAAGAACATATAATTTTGATAATTATGTCATACTGCTGTAGTATATATGCACTTAAATACCAACACTAGAAATGGACAGTAGTTAACTACTAGTTACAATTACTATCCCAACTTAGTAATTAAACTACTAGTTAACTACATGTTTAGTTTCAACTACTCTTAACTATTCTGTAATTTTTGTTTTTATTCATTATAATGTTGTTTTGGAGTAATCTATTGTCTTAGTGTATTAAGGCAAAAAATGTGTCTCATTTTCAATATATGCTTCTAATCTGTATTATCAATTAATTAGTAATAATAACTATGAACCTTGCTGGCTTTACTATTATAATTACAGATTTTTTCAATTTTTATTTAATTAACAACTAAATGGGAACCAGTTTTCCATAAAAATCCTCTTGTGAGACAATCTCTCTTGGCAGATTATCGAAGTGCTGCATTGCATTAAGTCATAAATCCAATACATTTCTAGTTTGACTGTATTACACAAATACTGGTAGTAAAAAATAACTTCTAAAATACAAAACTATCTTTGAATTTGCACATTTCACTGCAATACATGCAGTGGAGCATGTTTTCCTTGGACAAATTTTAATACTTAGCAAATGCATAATATCAAATGAAAAATTTGCAAAACTTGTATTCTGAGACATCAATTAAAAAAGATATGAAGGTGTTGAATTTATTACTTAACACTATCCTTTAACACTTTAATTAAACGATGAAATGAAAACAGAATTGTTATTTTAATCCAGTCGAATGTTTAGTTTTTCTATTTCTGAGTAGTTTAAATATAGTTAACTAATAATTTCAATTACTGTTATAAAAACAAATTACATAGGTAACTTGTAGTTAAATTATATTGCTTTTTATACTAGTTAACTACTTTTACATAATTAATGATACAGTATGTACAGTATAGTTAGTAGATACAGAGTACTGATAAAGTACAAAATACAATAATACAGTAAATATAGCAAAAAGTATGGTATCAGTCTATGGCAAACTGAGGAAAATATTCCCAGCCCATCACATCAATTAGTTTGAAAAGTATTGTTGTATATGATACTATTCTAAAAGTTTTATTAATTAATTATTATTTAATAATATAAATTATGTTATATTTAGTGTTTGTCTATATTTTAGTTTAAAATATTTATATTATTATTCTCACCATTGAAAGATTTTGTCCAATATATATGCGATAATTTCTGCATGCTATACATTCTACTGTAGTAGGCCCATAACAGCCTCTACATTCTTCTGCACATTTTACACATTGATGATTTGCTTCATCTGCAAAATGATCTCTTGGACATCTATCTTCACATTGTTCTCCTGCACTGTAGTGCAAACAGTCACACATAGAAACATGAATGCCATAAGATGTGCAATTTTTGCATCGTTGATGACATTTTCGACAAATCTAAATAATATAATAATTTTATAAATATACTTTCATTCAAGCTGATATGAATTAAGTTTTTACCAAAATTAAATTTACCGATTTTCCAGTTAGAGATTTCAATGGGCCCTCTTCCTGAGGACCAATGTAATCAGGATAATAACCATCAGGACAAGGTTCATCAGCTTTAAGGCATTGTTCCTAATGTAAAAAACTTAAAATGTTATTTTAGAATTATTGAAATTATTAAATCTGCTTATGTATTTCAATTCTACTGAATATTTGTTTGTAATGAACTAAGAGTAAACCTTATGAAGCCAGTAGTAGTTTTTAGATTTTAAAGTTAACTAAAACTAAAACAAATTGCAGTAATTATGAATTACTGCAATTTGAATTGCAGTAAATTATTCAAATTCATATTTGCAAGCTTTTTAAGATGGAAATGATTATATTACAATCAAAAAATATTTTTTAAAAACAAAATTTTTATTTATCTGAATCAAACTCTCTATTAATATAGNAAAAAAAATTTAGAACTACTTGTATTTGATAGTATGGGATATTCTATACTCAGTAATGACAAAAATTACAATTATTAAATTTACAAAAGCATGAAGTTCAATAGACTACAATGTCCTACCCTGATTAGAAGAAAAAGAACCTAGCAGAAAACTTTAATCAACATTCCAATAAATTATAATGCAAATGGTTTCAAATGGTTTCTCATATAGTTAACCAATACAGCTAAAAACATTCTTGTAGTTTTACAATCATATTTTATAAACATCAGTGATAGCATACTGGTTTTTATATTTTACAAATATATAAAATTTTACAAAATAAGACATATACTTATTTTCCTATTTTGCATAATATAAAAGTTTACATTATCATTTTGCATTCATAAATAATTTTTAATTATGAATATGCACTTATTTGTTTATTGAAATCATTAGTTATTATTTTGATATTTTTGTGGAATTCAATTTCAATATACCAAAATGATTATTGTAACTTAGCAAGTAAATTGAAAACTTGCTGAGATTGAGATTGTTTTCTTAAATCTCTACTGCTATCTTCAAAAGATAATGGAAATAAAAAGACAAATAAAATAAACAATTAAATAAAAATTCTCAAACTATTTAAACTATACAAACAAAAATTTTAGTATTTTGATAAATTCAGAAAATGTTCAATTTAACAGATTAATAAATACACTGCAGTATTAAAACAATAAGAATTTAATAAAACAAAAAGTTTTTTCATCTAGTTAACCAGGTTCCTCAGTTAATAAAACAGAATCAAAAAGAAGTTTCAAAAGAGAACAGTTTAAATTTAAACTCCATTCTATGGGAACAAAGTTTTATTATTCAAATTTTTTCTGTAATGTTTTTCTATAATCAGTCAATTTAGGAAAATTTTTATAAAACTTTTATCTAATTTGAAAAAATTAGACATGAAAAAATTAGACATGAAAATAACACAGAAGAAAGAATGTGTGTTCCCATCTAAACTGTAAATAAGTTAGCATATAAATGTATGCACATGTATATTTTATTTAAATTTCAATAAACCAGTAAAATAAAAAAAAGGTAGTTTTAGAAGCTAACTGCAAAATTTATTCAATTTATTCCTTTTTTACCATTTAAGCTTATTTTTAAATGTTTTAACAAATTGAACAAATGTTAAAATAATATATTTTCTGTGAGAAAAGCTGTTCAATATTGACATAAATTTTACTTTGAATCATAAATTTCTATATTTACATCCTTATTAATGGTATATTTGATAACTCAACTACAGTATTTTGTCATTTCTCTGCCACAAACTTATCAAGGACAAATTGTCTGTATTAAATGTCTAGAAAATGCATACTGAATATACCAACAGTATACTGTGAATCAACTATCTGTGAACTTGATAAGATATTCAAAAAACAGTTCAGATGATAGTACATGTTAGTTACTATTTAAAAATATATATATAAATATGGCAAATAAAATCCAAACTTTAGATATTTGAAAATAAAAAGATAGAAAACTTTCTCAATCTGAAAGCCTTAGATTCAGAATCTAGCAGATCAGTTTGTTGTAAAATTATTAACTAAATTTTCTGTAAGTTATTCTTTTATGTGGCAAAAAATAAACATTTTCCTTTCATTTAAATTCATTATTTTATAAGTTGAAAAAACAGATGAAAATGAATATTTTAATAAATAAAAACTTATTTATTGAAAATTGAGATGTTACTATATACATTTTTACAAAGACTTCTTACAAAAGCTGTATTTTGATTTGTGTGTCATTATATTATATAGTTTATCATATTTTATAAAAATTTACTCTTGATATGTATGTCAAAAAGTCAATAATAAAAATTACTATAAATAGAAATATAAACTGCAATTGTAAAATGCTTAATTCTCTAATATTTAAAAAGTTATATATGAATTGTTTAATACCACTCAAATTGTTTTTTTTCGACAGTTATATGATTTGTATATAACAAACCATTTTAAATATAGAAAAAATTATGAATTTAAAAAATGAATAATTTTACATTCAATTTAAACAAACTTACTGGTCCATAACATTCACCAAGACATTCTTCATCACATGGTTTACATTCTTTATTTCCTGCATCATAAATTCTAGAGAAAGAAAAAATTAATTTTAAATGATTTATTAAGATAAACAAGAAAACTAATATTAAAGTAGATTGACAATTTGTCTATATATTTTAGATATATTTGAATTTTATTTGATTTCAAAAATCAATAACTTATATAGAATTAGTCTTGAAGTAAAAAAATAACTTTTGTTCATAAATCTTAAAATGTTTTTAATTGAAAAAATAATATATATCATCTATTATACTGTATTTTATTCTTTTGGTGTTTCAAATATATTGAAATATGGTAATGTCAAGGACTGGAAATTGTACTTGAAAAAGCACAGTATTCTTAAAGAAAGGAAATATTGAAAGAAACATCTACGGTATCAAAAAATATGAGTATATTAAAGAAAAATAGAATGGACAGTTCAATTTTGTTTTTTTTAATCCAGAAATAAATATTGTTTTCCATGCTAGATTATCTAGAACGTTTATCAAATCAAATTATGAGAGAAAAACAAGGACTGATTAACATTATTTGTCAATTCTGTAACAAATGTACTGTTTCAATGAATCTGATAAATATAGTAAGGAAAGCTGATGTTACATCAATAACAATAGAATGTAGGAACATGGTTTCATTGTACAATGAAGCATTTTCACTGCATTGTTTTGTATTTTATTGTATATTATGGTGTTAAATATTAACATTACCAACATTTAATAGTAGCAACAGAATTTCGTTAATGTCAAATAAAATTGTCTTATTAAATGATATTAAGAAAAGAAGTTTTGTCATCAATATCTAATTATAACATGAAATTTTTTGAAATTGAAAAATCTCAATCTTCTAAATAATGTAAATGTATTAGACTCATTAGAGAGAAATTGAATCTCAATTTTCTAGTTTTATCTGTACTTGTTTTAATATAATCTTTCAAGCATTTCATAATCTGTGAAAGCAAATTGCAAAATCTCCTTTAGAAGATTGCATTAAAATCTTAAATTAGGTACAGTATTTTGTTATTTGAAAAAGTACCAAGAAATTTCAAAAATGAATTTGAAATGCCGTCTCTCTACTTTTTTAATGTTAATCAACATTATTTTCCATTGACACATGTAACTTTGATGAGACACTGACTCATTGCCCACCAAAAATTGTGTGCACTTCTAGCTCAAAAAGGTGGAGAATTACTGGTGTAGATATAATTCAAAAGCATTTTTAATTTATCTATAACAAAGTAAATATTTTTAAAGATGGAAATTTCATTACCATCTTTAAAAATTTTTACTTCAAAATTCAGCTGCTAGAGTAAAGTTTCGTATTGCTGTTTCCTTAATGTTCATATTGCATACATTTTCTAACAAATTTCAGGAGTTAGGAAATAAAGTGCGATAATTTTATTTCAATTATAGATGTGGAATTAACAATTAGAAGAGAGTTTAGCAAATAATGTGTGACACAAAATAAACATCACTACTGCTTATCTACTGAAGAATTGTTAAGAATGTTTTGTGACTACTTTTATACCCAAGATTTGTTAAAAAAACTTTTATAATATGGGACACTTTAATGGGACAGCAGTACTAAATTTCACCTCAATGACTGAATTTTAAAGTAAAAATTTTCTCAAAAATGAAAACTGCATACCCAGGACAATACATATGCAAAATTTAGGTTTGTCCAATAGTTCATTCTACAGAATTCTGAACACCTATTCTTTTTAATTATAATCACACTATAATGAAATTACAAGATACAGGATTTTCAAAAAGTGCCTTCACATTGGGTGTTATAGGTTGTAGCTGTCCCTTCCAGCTCAGTAATTGGTTTTGGATGATACTTGTATATGAGGTGACATTGTATGTGCTCCACTATCCCACAGCCACATATATGTGGTTTAATGCATTATTTGTATGTGCATCATGTCTTGGTTCAATTTAACCTACAATATCCATTGCATAGAAACTTTTCAAACACACTGATTATGATATACGAGGGCTGTTCGAAAAGTTCGTGGCCTCAAATAGAACAACAAACAAAATAATGTTAAAACTTTTTTTATTTTTTAATGTAGACTCCTTTGTTAGCAATGCACTTATTCCAGCAATGTTCTAGCTTTTTTATGCCATCACAATAGGTCAATTTGTCAAGGTGTGCAAAATACTCGTTCCAGCCAAGAATTTTTTTAGGTTTGGAAAAGGTGGAAGTCACTGGGGGCCAAATCAGGTGAGTGCAGTGGATGTGTAACTAATTGGAAGTGAAGTTTGTTTATCTTTTGTTCAGTGATTCTAGCGGAATCTGCATGTGCATTATCGTGGTGGATCAGAACCTTTTTCTTCTTCAAGTGTGACCTTTTTTCTTCGATTTCTTTCTTCAATTTTTCCAAAAGTTCACAGTAATAGACAGCATTAATGGTCTTTCCTCTTTCTAGGTAGTCAATAATGATGATGCCTTTAGCATCCCAAAAAACCGAGGCCATCACTTTACCCGTTGATGGAACTGTCTTTGCCTTCTTTGGTGGTGGCGAACTGTGGTGTTTCCATTGCTTCGACTGTTCTTTTGTTTCAGGAGTGTAGTAATGGATCCACGTTTCGTCAGTAGTCACAAACCGACGCAAGAAATCCTGTGGGTTTTTCTGGTAGAAGTCCAAACACTCCTTTGACATCAAAGTGCGAACACGTTTTTGCTCGGCGGTCAGCAGATGCGGCACCCACCTTGCTGAGACCTTCGTCATACCCAAATCTTCGGTTAGGATGTGGTGCACTCGGTCGACAGAGATGCCTGTTGTCTCAGCTATCTCACGCGTTTTCAAACGGCGATCTGCTAATACCAAATCGTGAACTTTGTCGATGTTTTCTTCAGTGACAGCAGTTGACGGCCGTCCGCTGCGAGGGTCATCTTCCACACTTTCTCTGCCAGATTTAAAAAGGGCTGTCCATTTTTTCACAGTGGTGTACGAAGGAGCAGACTCTCCTAAAACTTCATCCATGTCAGCTTTGATTTGAGATGGGGTCAACCCTTTTTTCGTCAGGTATTTTATGACCGCACGAGTCTCCGTCTTCTCCATTTTTGACAAAGCATGTGCACACTGACTATCTGCTAAGCTGTCGTGGCAAAACTTTTTGACAAATCAAGCGGAAATTGGTATCGTATCTCTAGCACAGATGGCTGAATTATTCCCGCCAAAAATTAAATTGATCGCAGCGCCGCATATAGGCAAGGCCGCAAACTTTCCGAACAGCCCTCGTAATTCAGTAAAACAATTGGCTTAAGATCTAAGAAGTTGATCCAGAAAGGCTTAAGATTAAGAAGTTTTAAATGATTTTTAAATTGCATTCCATAGTTATACGAAACTTATATTCTATTTTATTTCCTAAATCTAAATATTTTATACAAATATTAATCAAATTATCATTATTTTCTAAAGAAATAATTATTTGTCAATTCCTTCATATAACTTTTTGAATTAAGAATAAATTTCAAAATATATATAAAAACTACTAAAATATTTAGATTAATGAAACAACAACAACAAAATTCTAATATTTTAAAGTTTTTGTTCACCATCATAAACATATCTAACAACAAAAATTGAAACACAAACAAAATGTACTTTGTTTTGAAAACAAGATATAAACAAATAAAAATATAACGCTTTACAGGGAATAAATTATTGTGTAATTAACAGAAGTAATTATAAAATAACAAAAAAGGGTTGATAAACATGTTCATTTTTATAGTTCTGCAGGAAATCAACCATTTCCAAGAGTTTTTTAAGCAAGTGGAATCTCTCAAATTTACATTGTAACTTCTTTGGTAGTGCCAAAGATTCTGTTCTAATATTTTCATGACAATTTAATATTTCTAAAAGGTTTGTTTATCCTATAGAACATCAACATCCTTACTTAAAGTGTTTTCTGATAGTTTACTATTGATAATTTTTCTCTTGACATCTATAAGTTTTCATAATGTTACTCATTTACTCCAAATAAAGTGAATTTTTGATTAGCTTTTAATAAATTTTATTACATCTAAAATGATAGGTGATACAGAAAGATAATGCTTATTCATTTAATCACTAGATTTTTTCTTATTGGCAATTGATAACATTTAGATAAAATTGCTTGTTTTCTCTAACTTGTTTTAGTGTTTTATTTAGATAAAATAAACAGTATAATAGTAATAATTTATATATCCTTTAAAACTTTAATAATATGAGAACATATATAATAATCTTTTTATGGAAAAAATTATTTATTTAGGAAACTACTGAAAATTATTTATACGCAAATAAATAAGTTTGTTCTGTCCTTCCAATACGACATTCACCAGAGGTCAAAAACCATTCAGAAGACAATTTTAATTTAGATAAATTTTATAATTTTAATAAATAAAATATCTGTGAATTAAAATTATCTTCTGAGTGGTTTTTGACCTCTGGTGAATATCGCATTGGAAGAACAGAACAAATTTGTTTATTTGCCTATAAACCCCTTTTCAACGGTTTCATAAATAAGTGATTATATCTGGTAAATATTGTTGATTTTAGCTTTATATTAAAAAAATTATGATTTGTGTAATAAGTACTAATTAAAAATAAGTATTAAACCAATAAAAATAATATAAATTTGGTAAAAAAAATATATATATTCTTCCAATAAAATAATTATCGTAATTGTAAATATTTTTAAATTACATTTTGAATTACAGTGGTACCTCAGGATACAAAATTAATCCGTTCCGAAACTGAGATCGTATCATGAAAATGTCGTAAGGTGGATCATCTTTTCCCATACGATTACATGTAAAACCAAATAATTCGTTCCAATGCGAAAAACATACTCAAATTAAAGCCAAGTAATACATTAAAAAAATTAACTGTAGTAAGAAAAACAAATGAAAAATGCGAACTAATGTAACGTCGTATGGTGAGTTTTTGTTCGTATCGTGGAGCAAAAATATGTTCGAATTTCATGTCGTATCCTGAAAATTTCGTATGCTGGGGCGTTCGTAACCTGAGGTACCACTGTAATATTAATTACAGACTGTTTATGAAAAATATAAATCATATTACTAAATATCTTAATTTTTTACACTAACAATTTAGAATTCCTGCTGACTTACTGTATATTTTTTATGTGGATATTTTCAGATTAATTTGATATCTAATAATGTCTTCACTGAATCAAAACATTCAAGATACAAATCACATCTCATCATAATAGAGTTATTCACATAATTTTAATACACTACTCAAAGATTTATTTTTCACTAAGAAAAATGTCTGATCAAATTTTTAAATAAATAACTTATTAAAGTTTTAATATGAATCTCTATAGATAAGTAATAGTTGTTATCACAATGAAAGATAAATACCAATAATAAAAATATATAATTCTCAGTAGAAATGATACTAGAAATATAAAATTAACTTAGATTTTTGATTGCCTGATGATGATCATTTAAAATAACAAAAAAATGCTTGCTTAATTCAAACTAATAGTTCATTTCCTTGCTGCTAAAAGGTTTTCATGGTGATTATTTGTAAAAATTAATCATTAAGGTAGTGAGTTTTTACATACAAATATTAAAATATGTGCAATTAAAACTTAAGCCAATGAATATATAACTGGTTATTAATAATTTAGATTGAATTAACAAATAAGTTCATATGGACCTACATTATAAATATTATAATTATATAATTTATAAACTGTAGTTATTATAGAAGTACAAAGCCACTATTTGATGTAGAAATTTAATATGCTAAATTTTTAAGTAAAAAAGAAAAATCTATTAAGAAAAACATAAGACTAATATCTATATATGCAACTGACTACAGATGTTGTGCAGTTCATATTGTATCTGCTTCTACATAATCAAAATTTCATGTTAAATGATGTACTAAAAATGTTGATTCATAGAATATTAATCTAAAAAAGAAAATGCAACATATTATTAAATTTTTTATAAGTACACAATTATATATTTTTTGATTTACTAATTTAATATACGAACCAAAAGTAATGATGATGATGGAAATGGTTTTATAGATATGTAAAAAAGAAAAGAATCTACATAAATAAATTATCTTCAAAGAGGATTAAAGTTAAAAAATAGAAATTTTTATAAGTTTTTTTTTTTTAGAATTATTAAAATATGATTATTGCATTCTTAGATGAAATAAAGATGATGTTTATTTGAGAATGTAGTTTTTTCAATTATTTTATTTGAAATTTTAGATTAAAAGATTACTTTCTTTTTTATTTAAACTGATTTTCTTTAAAGAAATGTATTGATTCAAATTACAAAGAAAGACTCTTTCAAATCTCCTTTAGTAATTAAACTACTAACCAACATATATATCTAGAAATAAGAAATTGGATACAGTTAAAAGATACAGTCATTATATTATACAAAAACAGAAACAGTCAAATTTCTAATAATGTTTTGCATATAGATCAGAATACTACATTTAAGACTATATATAAAAGATTAGGAAAGAAAGAACGACTATATATAAAAGTTAAGAGAATTTAATCTAATTAATTAATCTATGATTTAATGTGTCAATCTTTCTAGAGGGTTCTTTTCATATTTTTATAGATAGAATTTTTTTGTAATTAATTATTATATTTTTATAGATATTTGAGTATTTATTGAATTTGGGGATTCTATCAAATCCAAAAAAATACCAATAACTGAACATAATTCTGAATTTTTTTTTATTTTATAAATGAATTTCCAAAAATTTTTCTGTAAAACAATTAACAAAGACAAATTCTTTGCAATACTAATAACTGACATACCAAAAATTCATACCTATGTAATTTAATGTTGTAATATGATAGACATAATATAGCTTTAAAATATATAATACAATGATATATAAATAAAAGGAAAAACAATATTTTATTTTTATGCTCAACTGAGACTAAATTTTGTCTTTTTGCAACAAATAAAATGATTATTTAATGCATTATTATATTTAAAAAAGTTTGTAATGCATAAAATTTACTAAAATATAACACAAGTAAATTAAACATTTTTAAATATGGTGTAGTAACAGAATGTTAAAGAGGTCTTATTGATGTTAACTTGGTGTTGCCCAGTGGAGAACATTTAGAATTTTTAATGTAAATGATTTATATATCCTATCCTATAACCCATCTACAATAATTTATATGCAATATACATATTGTATATTTATAATCATATATTTCTTTTTCATCAAAGTTTTTTATTATAAATTTTTAAGTGAAATAATTCAGGTTTAGTAGAAAGCATAATACTAAGGGGAAATTCTTTATCAAAGGACATCTATTATTAAAACTATAGTACAATTTAGATTCATTATATAATTAGTAAATTTCAAACTAACTTCAGTCTCCACAAAGTAAAATGAAAACAAAATAGGATGACATATGAAGGGAAAATCAGTCTTGCCAACTGCATTTTTTGAAAAATTTGACTGTTATTTCAGAATTTCAAAATATACATTTGAAAACAAGGTTTATACACACTTTCCTATATAGTTTTCAAGTGGGCCAAATATTTCTCCCATCATGGCACAAATTTAAATACTATTCTCATAGAATGAGTCTAGTTGCTTATGCAATCACAGTCAAATGGCTGTCTTCACATCTTCATCACTTTCAAAGTGATGAAAATGTGAAAACAGCAAACAGTTTAAAAGTGACCAGTTAACATCTATTTGAGGAGGTCAAGATGGTGATAAAAAAAATGGCCTGATCTGAGCATCCTGGAAGCTCATCATTTAGTTTCCAAATTTCTCACATCTTGCCATGATAGACTTTTTAGTCCCCATATAAAGCACTCACTCATTTGGTGTACATTATTGTTTCATGGAATAAAAACTTGTTCAAAATATTAAATTTATTTAATATCTTGAACAAATAATTAAACATATATTTTTATATTTTGCTATATACTATAGTTACATTTTCTTTTATAAAACTGTTATAACTAATAATATTTTTTACAAATAAAAAAAGTGTAAGAAGAAAATATGTTAAGTTTCTAATTTATAACAGTTTTTACTCACCCTTTGGAAGTATTACAACTTTCTATACAAGTATCACCTAAACGATAGGAAGCACATGAAAGACATTCTTCTGGTCCTAAACCCCAACAACCATCCTTAGAACATTGAGGATCACATACTAGACCATTTCGTTCTGTAATAAAATAAATAAATTTTATAATTCATAATTTATATTTTATTGTATCATACCTATTACAAAATAAATGAAATGTAATATGATACTAACTACAAGTATCTTTGTCAGCATTTCTCTCCAGGAAATTATTATTGTTGTTTGAACCTGAATGTGTAATTCTGTTCCAATCAATAGAATTAGCAAAACATAAATCTTGATTTTCCAAAATTGCAATTATTCCCGATTTCACTTTCTTCAAAGAATGCAAATTTAGTGATTTAAGAGATGTTTTCACTATATACAATGCTGCTGATAATTCTGTCAATTGTCTTCCGTCTATGATTTCCAGATTGCGAAAATAACTTAAATTTGTAAAATCTCGATGAGAACCCTGTATACTAACAAAGCCAGTTACTTCTTTTAATGTACTGAATACTTCTAATTTACTTGGATGCATTTTTCCATGTAAAGGACCAAATGTGAAACTATTGTTAAAAAATTAAGAAAATGTTAAAAATGAAAGAAAAAATTCAAGTTTGATATTTGTTATTTCAGAAAATTCTTTAACATACTTGCTATAAACTTCTTGAAATCCACCAAACGATGTATCAAGAATAGTGAGAGATCCTTCTATAATGGTACATCTTCTAAAACTATCAATATTATCTGCATGAACAACGTCAACTCCTTGGCAATCTGAAAATTATTATTTTTTTTATAAAACATTTACATAATCATTTTCATGTTATATATTAATATGGGCATTTTTCCAGATTATTGTTTGAATAAATTACTAACTTTTAGGACAAGGACCATCACATGGTACACATTCACCATCTTCTGCTTTTTTGTTTGGAGGACAAGATCGAACACAAGCACCACTGTCTCTCAACAAATGTTCTGGACACGTCTTAACACATGTTGCTCCATAAGCATATTTTCCATCAGGATTACTCTCCCAGGAATAAGTTGCTGGATTATATCTTCTCATTGGAGGGCATTCTTGTTTGCAAACACTGTCATCGTAGAAATTCCGACAAGCCTAAAATTTTCAGTAAATTTATTTAGTTTTTGTATATGAAGAACATCAAAATTTACAAAAGAAAAATAATGACATAAACAGTTTGGAAATATTTACCAAACAGTCACTCATAGTTGGTCCAGTGCAACCACCTGCACAAAATAAATGACAGCATTCTCTTGGTTTGGGACCAAAACAACGCCCTTGATGACATTGAGGGGAACAGTTAATTTTTGAAAATTGCTGACAATTTTCTGACCCTTCTCCCCAGCAAGATTGATGAGGACAAGACTGATCACAAGGAGGACCTACAAAAATAAATATTATAGTAATTTAATAATGTTTCTCAAATATATTATTTTTAATTATTTAACTTCTCATAGAAATAAGATTCCAGTAGTTAACATATAAATCTTATTTTATGTAAAACTAAAAATTAATATATACTGTATGATTTATTAAATATGTATTAATAAATCATTATAAGGAAGTAACAACATACAGAATTCTGTATATACATAGATAAGGTTTTAGGAATCTTAATCAAAATAATTGTTTACGATTAGCAAAAAAATTTATTACAAATTAAATTTCAATTTTGAAATAACAATTAAAACTTAAAAGTTTCTTTTTTTTTGTAAGAGTAATTTTCTACATGAATATTTTAAAAATTTTCCATTACAAAATAAAGAGCTAAGTAGAAGTAATTCTAAGTTTATGTTTAAGAAATCCAGGCAAGATTCAACGTTATACTGGTGTGATTAAATTATCCAAAATAGGCCAAGGTTTTTTAATTTTAAAGTAGATGCTATTGTTGCATACGGTCATTATCTCACTGATCTTTCTTGAAATAATTTACACCTGTCTATGAAAAATTGGCAAACAATGTTGCATGATTAGAAGATAATTTTTCGCCACATTAAACTGAAATTTTTAAAGTTATAATTTTTTTATTTTTTTAAACTTTATTTTATGCAAGTTTAGTTAGCTATAGATTTTGTTCTATTTAATTTGATACAAACATAAACTATTCTTTCTTATGTAATATAAACAAAAATACACTCTTTATATCTTTAAAATCACTAAAGAGATTTAAGTTTTTAAATTAATTATCAAAAATACTTTTAAACTATTTAACTGTTACATAAAGAAAAATTTAATATTTTTATACAAAAACTTCCCCTAATTTTACATAATGTGATACTTTAAGTTATTCTAACAATTTAGTAATATATTTTTTTTAAACTTACATTCTCTTTCTGGTTGAGTGAAATTATAAACATAAATAATTTTGGCTCCCAATCCAGTAAGAATTTCTTCCCAATTTATTGTTCTCATATGACAAAGGTTATAATTGTTGAAAAATCCCACGCTTCCCGACAAAATATCTGAAAAGATATAAAAGATTTTATTGACAAGTTTAAAACAAAATGACAATAAAACCGAGTCTAAAAACAAACCTCTTAAAGAAGGCATTTCTAAATTATCCATTGTACTGAGAGTGACCAAAAGTGCAAACTGTTCTTCTCTGACATTCAATTTAAATAAGGTACGACCCCTGATAATCATAAGTTTCGGAAGAATAATTCTTTTAATATTAACATGTGATATTAAAACATATCCAGTAACTTCTCTTATTTCTTTTAAGAATGACAAATCCAAGCTTTCATCCTAAGATTAACAAGCAAATATATAATAAACATATAGCTATACAATGTATAATTATAAATTTACTGCAATTTTTTTATTCAAAATTTACCTGTATCCATGTTAATTCTAAATTTCCGTCCACGTATGTACAGTTCGTATATCTGTCTCGTAAATTTTGATAGTGATGTTCGCGATTCGAAGGAACAGACATTCTTCCATTTGTACCAATACATACTGAAAATAAAATCAAAAAAAGCATTCCATTTTTTTTTCTTAAGGTAAACTGTTCTGTTTTTAATTCAGATAAATTACTTTAAAAAATTTATATAAATCTGTTGCAGAATGAAGGAACTTTTCAAATAATTCACATATAATTTTTAGGCAAAAGAATTCATTCTATGATAAAAAATATTCTTAAAAACTAGAAAAAAAAAATCAAAAATTTCTCTTAGAATCATAATATTTGCTGGAGAATTTTGCTGGCTTACAAAAGTTGTAATTTAACAGTTAATAATTTTAACAAAGTGTTTACTAAGTGTATTCACATTATCAATTTTCGATATGAATAACAGTAATAATAATTACAATAAACTAATGTAATGTTTTTAAAATTCACATCTCATTAAAAGATTCATAACAAATAAAAATACACATGAAACATTTATGAAAGTATTATGACGGCAGTCATAATTTTATTTTATATANAGAAGATTATCATAAAAAATAATAATTAAATCATCTTCAATGTACAGCTGCCTTGCTGGAATGCAAATCCACGTTTAAAATATTAAAAAATAAAAACTAACTTTTTCCTCTCGTAAAATATTTTTCTTGTTCCGCTACTTTATTGGCGTAGGGGATAGGAAGAGCACCATTAACACACAACAGATGTATAAGTAACAATGAAGTCCACATCTTCATCACGTACAGCATATACAATTTAGGATTCAGGAACAAAAACAATGAGGTAACATTGTATAAGGCACTTTGTAAATATGTACAGAATTGCATGTTTTGTACCACCTAAGTAAGCACCACAGGTCCAGAATATATCCTGGAAAGCTTTCGCATGGCGAACTATTTGATAACACAAATTTTTGACAGTTTATGCAGTCATATTTAATTTTTCGATGTATGTACATATTACTGAGTTACTTCTTGACATGAGGTAGAATAAAATATCCACTTTGGAAATATGGATTTAACAAGTTCTGTAAAAAAGAAAAAAAGTTAAATTTAAATGTTGCCTAACTTAATGATTGATGCAATGGTACAGAAGATATCGTTCGTGTGAAATCATAGTAAGAAAAACTGCGGGGATATCATTAGAATTCAGATAACTAATAGGAAAACAAGTAACTGATGGTAACAGACTATTATACAAAAAAAAAAGTTTAGGAGCCCTTCCCACATATGCAAGATAACTCTACATGATAAATCCAGAATGGCAAGATTTTTTTAGATAAATCATTAACGACAATAATAGACGACATATGAAGAAGTACTAATGAAGTAATCAATTTAGATTTCAGACATGCAATCATTTAACTTGGATTTATTCAACCTGGACGAGTTCATTACAGAGGTGGTTGCTTCCGAGAAGTCAAAATTTAGAGTAATTCGTCTATTTTATTGTTTTAAGAAAGTAAAGAATGGAATTTTCCTTCAGGTGCGTCGTCTCGTAAAACAACTCGAGTGTTTTAAACTATTAGAACAGCTTTGGGGCAGTTTACCAGGAACAGATATAACCTACGCACCGGCGCAATTTTCTACAAAAAATTATTAGCTTCATTATCAGATTTTTATCTGGACAAGTTTTTACTTATAATGTGTAAGTATAATAAAAAATGATAATTAACTCCTCATTTATCGCATAGGTAATTGCAATTTTGTGTGATGAAACCTCCGCATCTCGACTAATTTAATTTTGTAGATGGTCCCCGCCTTTCAAAAGCTTTGAAATACACAGAAAGAAGTGTGATTTTTAAATGAACTTCTTACAAAAACGAAAGGGAAGAGAGAGAGAGAAAAAAAAAAACAGTTAAAAACATAAAAGTTTAAAACTGTTAATGGATTATCAGAAAGGTATAACAAAAGGGCTTCTCTTCATTATTATAACGAACAGATGTAAAGGAATAAAATACAATTTCCGTTGAAGTGACTATGGCGTGTTGGAGAAGTGGCCGCGATTCACTAGACTACATCCAGTCACGTTATAATTATATAAACCAAGTGGTCGGTTCAGTTTTTTGAACCTCCTTTCCGAACGTGGGATACTAGGATGTTTACGAGCTATCGTGCGAAAGCCTTACAGCCACACTGTTAAAACTTTTCTATAGTTTTTCTCAATACTCTATTGTTCTGTTTTGAATGTTAATCATTCTTCATTGTTTTCTGGATTCGAAGATTTTGTCTCGTTAGCATACGAGTGTGAAATAGTCGCCTCGGAGGAAAATTTTGTTACGTGGCCAATTCTTCGACTTGGTGATGTTACAAAGGAGAAAGAAATTGCGTGTGGTGAAACATCCGAAAGAAAAATAATTTACAGATTCCATTATTTTAATTTTTCGTGCAGACATATTTTTATTGTTCGCGACTTAACGATTTTTAACTAGTAAAACAGAGGATCGACTTTCGATGTTTCGTTTTGCTATCAAAATACATTAGTACTAAGAAAAACAAACAAACAAACTGTTAAAAACATGTTGAAAAAAGACTTTCTTTCGAATTTAACGGCAAATTTTTTAAATTTTTCTTAAATTACTTTATTGTTTTTAAAAAGTTTTCTTATTGTTCCTAGATTATAAAGCGGTTTGATGTTTTTAAAAAGAAAAAACTGCAGAAATTTAAAAGAATTCAAAACAAAATCTATAATAGAATCGACCAGTTTATCGCTTGTTTAGTCCAGGTAAGATAAATGGAGGAGAATTAGCTCCGAGCAGTTTTCGGGTCATCAGCTTAGCGCCCATAGCTGGCAAATAGAAAATGGTTTATATTTGTGACGAATTTCCCGACACGATTTCTAGTAAAAAGGTCGATACGTTTTCGTGGAACATTACAAAACTTTTACGAAAATCTTACGTACAGTACAGTACATTCACCCGTGCGCGTACCTCCGTTTGTCTCGCTACTAGAGATTAATCTTAGCATAATCGACTCCCCTCAGTGGAAGGCATGGGCATTATAACAGTGGGGGTTTGACTTCTAATGAATTTCCGTAAGATGAGATATGATTCGTTCCACAGAATGAAAGATATTCTTTCTTTAGGCAACGGACTAAGCGAGATGACTTAAAAATCTATATTTATAGCTTATTGTACTCGTACTTATAAACTCTGGGGGTCCAAACGAGATAGACAACTCTTATAAAATAAAAACTATTATTGTTAATATATTAAAATTTCTCTAGAACTGATAGAAAAATAATTACTCAGAAATTAAGCTATATATTCAAACAAGTTTTAAATTATTTTTATAAAAACATTTCCAGAAATATGGGAAAATCGGTTACAAACTCAGTTATCTGAAAATACCGGTTTCTTTTTTACTCAGAAATATATCCTTGTAATATTTATTCGGAAGGAGAAAAAAAAAAACAACAGAAAACTTGGCCAATAACATACATAAAAAAACTGAAGTATGCGTTATTGTACCTAACCGAGTCCTTAATTAAACGGGACATAACCTTCCATATAAGCGGTACCCCAACAATCACGACTCCATTAAGATGTGTACGATTTAATTACTAATAAGAATATTAATTAGGATTAAAAGTATACAACTTGAAAATAATGGAAATTACGAAACTTTTAGATTTAAATATCATTAAGTTCGAGCGAATCTTCGATTAGAAAAGAAAGAAAAAGAAGAAGAAGTACAGTCGAGTTTGGCGCCAAAATTCGATTTCCAGTTCTGCAAGATTTTTGCCAACTTTTCCAAGAACTATAGACGATATCTTATCGTATTGCCCACCAAATATAACATGTTAGTTGCGTAGTAAAATAGATTACAATGTTTAAAAGTAGGAATATTCGACTAAAACGACTAAGAAGAAAGACCAAAGAATTGATAGAATAAATTAGTACATTTTTAGTTGTTGGAAAAGGGAGGTAAATTTACAAATTCGTAGTAGTAAAAGATTTCTGTGAAGTAATTAACTAGTCAATTATGTCAACTAAAAGGCCACTTTATAGATAAATAATATCTTATCGAAACGTTTTTCGTTATCAATATTCTTAAAAGTAATTCAGATAATGATTTAGTTGCGTCGTAATCGTTATGTACGCATTGAGAAACTATGCAAATAATTCCTTATAAAAACCATAAACACGTTAAATTTTCGAACTTTATTGATTTAGCGATAAAATCGGATGGAAATTTTAAGTTAATTGCGTTTTTTCGTAAGTTTACGTGCCTAACAGTAAGTTAAGAATTAGTATTTGCGTTATAAATGACGAAGGATTATATTCTGATTTCGCTGAAATGAAATTTCAATTTGTAAACCATGTAATTTTGACGGTAGAGAAGGTGAAAATTGTTTTTAAGCTAGACATTTGATGTAAAACTTGAAACCGAAATGATCGGAATGTCGACCAGGAACAACTAACCTAGCATACATGGTTGAAGTCCAACACCTCTCTCTGTACGAAGGCGTTCGGAGGATTAAATTACTTTAAAACTGGCAGTACCAAGTGGCGTCTGAACTGACCGGGAAGTTATTCCACGCAAAATTGTTTCCATACTGTCGAAAAATGATCGGTTTACTAACAGCGGGACATGTGCTACGTAACGCTAAGTAACGCATCCATGGTGTATCGATTCCAACTACTTTACTAAATTAATCCGGTATTTTTTTTACGTAATAAAAAGTAACATAATTTGAAATTAATGTAAATTTAACAACGACGATAATAGAGAACAATTTGTTATTTTTTTTAATCCTCCAGCGGCCCTACCCTTCCTAGTATTATAAAAAAAAAAACTTAAAAAGCAACAGGTTTCCGCGTTCGGCAAAGGTTGTGAGAACCTCTCCAGGTAGCAGAGTTCTCCCCTCTGAAGTTTCTCATTGTTGGTAACCTGCTGGGGAAGTTAAATTTGGCCCTATTTTTTTTTTTTTTTCTTTCTTCTTACAGTCGACTACAATCAGGTTTCTCGTTCATATAAAGTATATATATAGAAGCTTTTCTACAACCGAAACAGCTACAGTTAATTATAGTAACAGTTTACAATGTTTTATTAATGATGAAATTAAGTACAATTAATATACACACTTATGAATGACTGAAAAATATCAACTTTATCATTTAAATGACGTTCTAAAGTGGTTTTTAACGAGAAGAAAATAATAGAAAATGTTTGTAAAAGAATACGAATTACGAAGTGTTTGATAATAATTTGTTAAGATTTCGGGCTGTTAAAATCAATAAATAAATAATTCGTTGTTACAAAATTCGCGTAATCGTGTTTCAAAGGGGAGAAAAACTTTTATAAATAAGTAAAATCGATGCTAGACACGAATCGTTACATAAATAATGCGTATATTGCAAAAATTAAGTGGAATATTTCAACAAAATATAGAACAATCATCCTATTATTGCTGAAAATTTTTCCTCGATAATTTTCGTCATTATTTTCCCTAAAATATTTTTACATGAAAAGTATTTTCGTTCTATAATCGTGTCTTTAAATCAACTTTTATTTATTTCAAAACACGAAAAAAAAACAAATAAAAAATTCCTAATAATAGATAGAAATAATAAGGTAGTATATATATATATATATATTTTGTCCATGATTTTTCGTAATGAAAAAGTGAAAAACACACAACAGAAATTGAAAAAGTTGGTCCTATATAATCACGGATAAGAACAATTAAACGGATTGATGTTACTATTAATAAATACAATGTGTGTTTACAATTACGTGACATCTTTCTCTGCATTTTTATGAATAAAGTACTCCAGAGGCTGATGAAGTACAAAATTTCTTTCTATTAGTAATGAATTTTGTACTTCATGAGACTCTGAAACTACTCTACTTGATACTTTTTCAAGCAGATTCCAGGAAATTATTCGATATATTTAGATATTTATTTGACGAGCATATTAGTATAATTGTTCTATACAATTAAGTAATATGTTGTATGTAAATTATATAAGTTCGATATCGATCCTTTTATCAAAATAAACAATTTGTGAATAAATATATTGTCTAAAGAATACAAACAAATATCTTCCTTCATTTTAAACCATGTAAAAGTATACGTATTTCTTTTTTCAAATCATTATATTATCTTAGAATCACTATCAAGTCCTTTAAAATTTTACAGTTTTTAATCAAAACATTCCCAAATTTATGCTATCGAATGTAACGTATCCGAATCAAACTAGTTTCGTGTGTGATGGAAAAACGGACATAGCATTTGAAACGTAGCGCCGTGACTGGTTGATTCGGATCGTTGGTTCCTGTTTGTGATGGAAAAAGAGAAGAAAAAAAACTTTTTTTTTTAGCTGGTGACATTCCATCCGAAAAGATGACTCCCCTCGGGCCACGCATCGTTCTGCACTATTAAATTTTCTATGCGGTAAAAATACTGGCGATTGTGCGGAAGTGGTACTAACTATCTAATAATTGACACTAAAGACGTATCGGTGGCTAATATATTTCATAGAGTAAACAAAATTGATTAATCTTAAATTGTTAGTATATTCTCTTATAATAATAATAATAATAATAATAAATATAATAGATTAAATATTGAGGTTAAACATCATAAACGTTACTATAGAACAGAAGAAATGCTTTTAAAAGGATTAATAAGGAATGAAATTTTATCTATTTTAATTTACTTTGTAAGACTAAATCTGAATAAATAAAATATGAGATTTTCTAGATTGTTATTTTATATTCTTTAGTATATACTGTAATGATAATTTTAACAAATTGCTATACCCAATGATTAATCATAACAGTAGAAAATTCGATTTCGAACTGCGATTAGCATTCTTTTATTATACACTAGAACAAAGGTTTTCACGAGTCGATCTTCTTGAGCCAATGGCACAATATTAACAAGTTTTGTTAGCATACCAATGGGTTAGTGTTGCATCAAAGATGCTCTTGACTTATAAAAGAATATGTAGCATTAAAGACATGTTTTCTTTTTATTAAAATAGCATTTTTTAAATTATTTTTGAAGTATTTTGATACTACTATGAGAAGTTCGCGACCACAGATTGAGAAGTATTGAGCATAGTTTTCCTTATAGCAACTATTGTATATGTCGGAAGGGAGGGGTCGTCTCTTCGCGAACTCTAGATGGAGTATATACGCATCCTTATGAATACAAACAGCTCTAAAAATATAAATATTAAGAGGAAAACAGATTCAAATAATAATAATAAAAAAGTTCAATTATAATCTTCAGGAAACGCTTTTTGAAAGTTCAAAGATCGTTTTTCCTTCTAAACCCATAATAAAACCATAATTTGGGGTATTATCGATATCATACTTTAACTATCAGCAACAACGTATTTCACTATGTCAGAAAACGGTCAGATCTGTTTACAGAAACTTTATCTACTTTAATTCCGAGCATAAAACATTAAAAAAAAAAAAAACTACAACTACTAAATCTTCAAATCCTTTCGGTCAGACAAAGACAGTTGAACAAACTTCTAAGTTGAGATTACAATATTTGTTTACGCAAATTCCATTTCTATCCAATCCAATTGGTTTCTTTTGGTCTCCAATCTCTACCCCCCTACAGGTAGAACAAGGTAGAGCGAAAACAGCCCCAGGCATTTCTATTTAAACATGTTTTTCTGTAACGTTCGCCAATCAGGAGCGAGGCCATAACCACAAATCAGGTGATTTAGAAATTATCATTAAACGTTTGAGTTTGTATTCGAGTATGTAACCAAATAATTAACAAAAAGTATCGAGAAAAAAGAAAATAAAAAGAATATTCTTCGTACAATGTTAAGTAATTCGAGAAAATACAGATAAAAATTACATTTATATTCGTGCCAAAATATCTTGACAGGTAACATAGAAACGCCACAAGTATTAGTAGCAACTAACATAAAGAAAATAAAAGTTTGCGAAAGTAGGCTGTACTTGTAAGTCAACTTGCAGCTGGCAAAAACACACCAGGTATATACTCTTAACTAATCTTTGACCCAAGCTAAATCAGGGGGGGGATATGGTATCGCGCAACGTCACTTAGAACGATACGTAACTGTCATTGCATCAATCTATTTAAAGTAGCAATAAAAATAAATCGAATTAAGTGACGTGAAAAAAAAAACTTACCTGGCACTCGATTCTGCTATGACAATCCCGACCAGCGGGTAGATAAAACTACCTGTAGATGAACTGTACACACATACTTTCAACTGGCAACACTTACAGAAGAATTCGACACATCCAAACGCGCAGCTACATCATCCGTAACTGGACACTACAAAGTCGTGTGCGTCAAATAGAAATGCACGCGATCTTTCACCTCTCTCTCTTCTTCGTTGGTACAGTCGTTCGCTAGAGTTGCGGAGCGACTCGATCAGAGAGGCCCTCCTCGTAACTCCAGGTAAGTTTATCAAGGAATGCTGGGAAGGAGCTGTCCTGCCTGAGGCGCGGCAACACTTCACTTGTATCGCTTTGAGTTAGCAATGCATCTATCGAAACAAACTAACAAAGAACTTTGCATTTTCCAAATGATTAAATCGTTTTCTCCTTTCTTGCATTAAAATTTAGAAAATAATACCAAAAAAAAAAAAACAAAATAAAATCTCTTTGTTCGTTCTCCCAGTAACTGATATTCGAGTAGTTTCTTATCAACAAAGTAGGCGTTATCTTTTAAATTATTCATAACAAATAAAATACATTGCCATACACAAGACCCCATGACATTTTTCTCGCTAAAATCGAACCCGATTGCATACATTTTTTTTTTCCTTATTTCGTAGGATTATTTAATTATTTTTATATGGAATTGTTATATAAAAAAAAGGGAACAATGAAGTAATGTTTTAAAAACTAATAAAAAAAACTTTGCTCGACATAAAGAAGGGGAAAAATGGGCACATTACAATTTGCATAATTTGTCGCAGGGGTCATTTGTACGCGGGTGACCGTGCAATCTGTGATGTCATAAACAAAACGTATTATTAATATAAAGTACAATTGAATACGCTGCGATTGTTCGGATTTTATGATTAATATACATTAAAAAATTATAAACGGGTTAATTAGTTTATGCAGTTTAAAGATAATTTTTATTTCCAGTTCGGTTTATTTGACGCGACGTTAAAAAATAATTATCTTCACTGATTATCAATTTAAAAAGGATTTAATATTTATTTTAAAAAAGCCTTAATGAACTGTAATCAATCTTCGCATATTAAATGTATTACTTTTCATCGTAACTACTATAAAATTACTCGATAATAAAACGGAATTTTAGAATAATTTTTATACCTTTAAAAAAAAAAAAAAATACCTAATCAATTAGTTGTTAAATTTTGATTTTATTTTCTGGATTGTAATGTATTTTATTACATAAAAAACATGAAATATTTATATTTTTCTTCTATTATAAATACGAAGGAATTGACTTTCAAAATAAAGTGCGTTTATCTACCGGGCCATTGTTTTATTCTATCGAGTGGACTTTTTAAGAAATCCTTAAACAATAAACAGTAGTAATCTCCGAAAGTTATTGAAACAGTTAAAAGGCAAAAAAGATGCTAACGAAATGTTGTAAACAAGGGTGCAGCGAGACATCAGTTTACTGCTTTTAAGAAAGTTTGCGCTCACTAAAACACACCTGCAACTCATAGGTGAGGTATGTCCTATATTTACAGTGGATAAAGTAAGAGATTTTTCTATTGGCTTTTCGAAAAATTATGGTTATATAAATACTCGTATATATATTAAATAGATTTTAATATGTGTTTAGGTATAAAATATTTATTTTATTTAAGATCTTATTAACGCTTTTAATCATTCAGATGGAGTAATATAATCGAAGTGAAGGTCAAATTTCACAACCGAATCTTTGTAAGTTTATTTCATTAAATGGCCTTAATAAAATAATTTATCACCGATTCAAAAGACAGTAATTAATACATAACAACAGGAAATTTTGTCGCTTAAAATGACACTAAACCTATAGATCTTACTCCCAATATAAAATTAATTTAACCATAAACTGTCTAAAACATTAGAAAAATTGTCAAATTAATCAAAATAGGAGACGTATTCTATTTTCAAGGAGAAAAGGTGTCATTGATAATGACATCAACGAACACACGTGCTTACAACTAAAACTAATAGCAATGCCCACCTGTATTTCTGACAGAATTGCACACTAAGGTGCAATTCTGTCAGAACCCTAACAAATTTCGCTGAAGGATGAATACAATAGCCCCCTCCAATACAATGTATCGAATTTTTATGACTCTTGAATAGTTGGGTACCCACAAAACAAAATAATCAATACGTGTAATCTTTTTAAAATGCACGTGTATTATTAATTGATAAAATGAAGCTTGAAGAATGGATTAAAACAATCCAACAGAATTATTTAAGGATCGACGGGTGTTAGAAAGAATGTATGGGATTGTGCTTAAAATATTTACGATATAAGCACAACCGTCTGGTTATTTATATATCAATATATACAGATAATATTATACATTACTATTGCAATGATGATAAATACTAGACTTTTTTTTTATTTTATAGATAACAGTTTCTATAAAATGATGTTACTTTTTATCAAAATTATAAGAAAAGATAAAGTAGACAAATAAGAGACTATTTTAGAACTGAATTAGTATCCTGTACTTAAAAATATTAGCCAATGTAAATTTTCTATTTCGAAAATTTAAATTGAAAATATACAGTTTACGAAGTTCGGAGATAATTATATGATTTAAGGAAGTTCCATTTGTGCAGCTAGCGTAAAAATATTTATATTGTTCATCTGACAATAAAAAAAAAATTATAATCGAACAAATAATATAGTAAGGATTTAGTCTAATAAATTTTTTTCCTATGTAATAAATGAGTTCAGTGAAGCAGAACGATCTGATTAACTAATCTTCATCGTCACTTTGAAGTCGGATTGGATTTGTTACGCGAGAAAGCATCTGACAATGGGCTACACTACCAGCTTCCATTATGGGCGAGTCTAACCCTTAATGGATAAAATGAAGGGACAACAACGTCAGCCAGGATGAATAAGGATAGGGATAACTATCCATGAAAAATCAGGCTAATCCTCGTTGATTTCAAATCCTAATCCTCAAGAGAACATCCACTCGAAATCGCTTATAGTTTTTATAATTTGCCTATTACACTCTTATTAAAAATATCTTTTATATATAAGTAGGAACAACTTAAAATAATAATTATAGTATAAACACTACTACTCTGAAACCATTCATTTTCATGTTTAAAAAAACATTTTAAATGATTCTCTTTACTGAATTAGATGTCATTGTCTGTCATCTCAATGAGTCAACAAACTTCAGATATTAAGAGACTCGGAAAAAAATTCAATGGTGATGTCATTCTTAAGCAAGGAACAATCAAGATCCGATGCTATCGCGGATACTTTAACTACCCTACCATCGCGTATATGAAGTCACATGACCAATTACATTCACCCCTAGCTAGTTGTATAGGTGAGTAACCATTGTATGGTTGTTCGATCGATATATACGAAGATCCTCCGGGGAGAGAGAAAAAAAAACTGTTTACTGTGAGTCGAATAGACGAGTCATATAAAAGAAGAGCTCGGGTTATCGGGTGGATAATAGTTGAATGACTGACGTAATATAATCGGACGTAATCAAAAGAGCGACATTTGAATTTACTTAAAGCCGTTAACAAAGTAAAACTATTATAAAAAGCTGTTAATTTCTTAGCGGATAACGTGTAAAAAAAAAAAAAAACGGTCAAGGTAAGCCGTAGTCCAGTAGAGTCCAGATGACATAGAGAAAAAGTGATACAGGAAACAGTTGAACTTGATCCACTTGTTTCACGAAAGAGGAAAGACGGCGCCAAGGATTTGTCATATTGCAGTTCAGTGTACTCCCATTGGTTAACAAAGAGGGAAAACTGATTAGGAAAAATATATTCAAAATGTTATTTTTCTGTCCGTCAGTTTTTATATAAATTTTCGTTTTCCTCGAAGCCGTTAATTTCAGAATTATATAAGTAGTTTCTGTTAAACACGACGTTAAAAAAAAGTTTCATTCTTTATAGGGTTAATATATTTAAGTTTTAGAATATGCATAAGGCAGGGAAATAATATATTTTCGAAATGAAAAACGCCAGCAATGTCGAAAGACGAGTGAAAATTTACAGTCGCGAAGTCGACGAAATGTAAGGAATTAGTTTCTTGAGGGCAACAAGGCAGAAGTGAAGATCACGAAAAGTGTATAAATATGTAACTAAAATTCTTGAGATAATATCTAGGTGAGAGAAATGGTTGTGCGGGCTCGCTCTATAATAAACGAGAAAGACAGTATGAACAGAAGTAGAGAAAGGATGGATCGGAAAACCGGTTTGACTAAGGGGATAAATAGAAGCAACGATATTCCGAAGGGAAAATTTGGGATGGAACAATAGGTGAAGAGGGGAACCTTTTCTTATCGTCGGGGAGACGTTTGGAAGATACTGGTTTGTATAAGAAAAAACCAACCCAAAATCCTTACCTATCCCGCATCACCTTTAAGCTTTGTCTAGCCGAGAATCAGAGTACGAGTGTTCCCATCGTTTTTGAAATCGTTTCGTAGCAAACATCTCAATTTATCTGCCGATTCTGAATTTATTTAATTAAAATCTAAATTTATCAAATAACATGTAATGAAAACAGGGTGTGCAGGAGTAAGCTGTATAGGACTAAATGCTGTCGTGAAATCTACCACCGTTCGGATGAAAAAAAAAACAACCATTTTCTAAACTGCACTTCCTCCGGATTCGAACTTTTGTCGTTCATCCGTCAATTAACAGAAAAACACAAAAAACTCGTTTATCGCCAAATATTTTTATGTATTCAAATTTATAGAACAATAGCGACAACAAAAGTGGCAGATGAAAAAAAAAAAAGTCCAGACCACAATGGAACGCAGAAAAGCGAAGCGATTAAGCCTCCAATTAAATAATATAAGCGAGATATGAAAGAATTAACAGCAAAAAAGCTCTGCTCTGAGGCTTCGTGACTAGTCTAGAGGCGGTCTATCCCTGGGCGTTCTGCATACGTCATATCGGAGCCAAAGCCAGAGCTAACCAGTCATTAATGTTCATATCACTGCAGCTATACATCATTGCTTAGTCCGTTTTTACAGTTCGGCCGAGGGAGTCGTGAGTGGCCTTGTATGGCAGCATTCCTCAACAGGTTTTCGTGATCTGTTGTCGGGTCAACACCATGCCATTGGTCCATGTTATTTCCTATTAATTACGTATTGCTCACTACTTTTTTTTCTACTACCTCTATGTTTCGAAAATCGTCTCTGAGGTGGTTATCGCCTTCGGATCCTATTTCGACGTTGTTTTGTCTACTCGAAAAATATCTAATGTCCAATGAGTCATAAATTTACAAAACATCAAAATGTCGATGTATGTTTTTACAAAAATAAACAGTAAATTTTCATCCGATCCATTCGGAGAATATATTAAATAAGAAAACTCTTCGGAATAAGTGTAAAAAT